GAGGACGTCGACGCAGCTGTACGATGTCGGAAGGGGTGCAGGGACACCGCCACGGCAGTTCTACTCTCGGCATGCTGCCTCCAGCGCAAAACGTTTGCAAGGCGTCCATTGCGATGGCGGCGCTTGAAGCGGGCTACGAATATAAACTTGCTCGTCACTTCTCGTTGACAGTGTTTTTTATACTAATCGCAAGAAGACTATTTACTACATTCCGTCGTCGGCATGTCACGCCTAGACATGAACATGCAAGGTGACAGCATGCAGCCGATGAACGTAGTCAAGGCAGCCCGAGGCGGTAAGTGTGGGGTGAATCATGTCGTCGAGACCAAGCATTTGCTGGTTCGAATCCTCCCGTGTCCGCTCCGGGATGGCAAGTTGCGCCGAATGGTTGTCCCTTGTCGCCCGTGGCACACACTGCCCGGCAATCACGTCGCGATCCGGCTTACAGTCATGCGTTTGGTGGGCTTGGCTGGCGCTCGCTCGTTTACGTGTACGTTCGAGTCCTTCGCACACGCCTTTCGTTGGCTTTGCTCGTCTAACACAAAGTGTTCCCAGCATCGTGCGACGACTCGCCGCACGATTGTTCCAACAGTGTGGGTTTGCCCATGCAGTGCATGGATGCATGCTTCCCATGTCGTCCTGAATGGCAGACACATATAGCTCGCGACAACAGCGACATGAACGAGCGAGACAACGACGCCCCGAGCCCCTTGAGGGGGTTTGTGCTGAAGTTCATTTGTGGCGCAGCAGTTGGCACCGCATCTGCTTACGCCGTTATGAGAGCAGCACTTGTCCTTGAAGGAGTTGTCTTGTGCGTCCACGTACGTTGCTGCCTGCCGAAGCTCGCTTTCACTTGGTGGAATAGGTCGCATCCGTTGTGAGGATCCTTGGGCTGCAGTGGCACATGGTTGAGACCGACTTGACGGTCAAGTACATCGCCGACGATCGCATTCAGTGGCGCAAGCTTCGACACGATGCGATGGAAGCTCTTGGCATGAACGAGTCGTCGAACCTCTTCCGCGCATGTGAAAAAATTCTCGCGCTACACGAGTGGCTCACGGCCAACTGGTATTCCAGTACGTTTGTCCGACATAACCACCAAGGCCCTCCCAACCACCACCTTTTTTCCAGTGGAGTTTGCCGCGGGCGTGATGTTGTCGGACCATTGGATATGATGGTCAACCCTTCGCGGGCCCTCATTTTCAGCAACCCGCCAGCGTTCCATGCCAACGACGCCTTCGTCCTGCAACTGCGTCGACGTGCCGTTAATGCGACCCACAGCAATAGCACGACATGCCCCGTCAACCTCTTGAGAGTCGTTTAGGCCCTAAAATGTGCGCTCAAATTCGAGTCGGCACGTGAACTTGGAAGTGTATTTACGCGTGGTGGTTGGCCACCACGATGCGGACGCCCTGCGATGGCATGCTGTATCCAATGTGTTTGGAGTGCTTCGGTGTCGTTGGAGACTGATGGTGTTTGAAGCACTCGTTATCCGGATAGGTGACCATTTAGTAATATTGAAAAGTTTTGGTGACCGTTTTGCAACACTAGTAACGATTTAGTAACAAAGTCCACTTATAGGGTACCATTTAGCGACAGCCCCGTACTGCTAAACGACTCGACGCCTCGCACTCGAATTTAATGACTCGCATGCGCTCAAACACGTGAGCGACCAATAGTCCTGCAGCTCAATGTGTCGTTGGCTGTCAAGGAGATGGCGCGTCGTATGGGAAATGGTCTCTTGAAATAAAATCTACACGCACGAAAATGCCTTCGTCTTACTTGAGAGGCTTGCGAGCCATGAAGAAGTACGACGGCGTAAAGATGTTGGCGCGGCCAGCTTCGACGATGTCGTCGGCCGTCTTGTTCAACATCAAACTGACCTTGACCGTGCCCTTTGGGGCAATCTTGAGCGTCTCCAAGATCGTGACGAGGATGTGCGTGCACTGGCGACCAAACCACGTCATACGGAAGCCCTGGAGGGTCCACTTGCCTTCGAGCGTCTCGTACCACGGGATCTCGTGCGGGTCGCGGTAGTTGTCTTGGAGGCTGTAGTGTGTGACAACTTCGAGACCGGCGTCGGTGAGGGCCTTGGCAATCTGCTGGGGGGTTTCCAACGTCGGGAGTCCGTTGCCCACTTCGATGCCTTCCTTCAACGCGATGTGATGCATGTTCTTGGGGTCGTAATCGTTGAGCACAGCCCAATCGAGGCCGACAAACGTGCCACCGGGTTTGAGGACGCGCGCCGCCTCCGAAAAGCACGCCTTCTTGTCCGGGGCGTGGCACACGGACTCAATTGCGTAGATTGCGTCAAATGTGTTCGCTTCAAACGGCATGTCCATAAAGTTGCCTTGCTGGACATGGCATCGCGAGTCCAGTCCGCATTGCTTGTTGTTGCGGTTCGCGACTCGCACTTGGTACTCGTTGATGGTGAGGCCCTTGATCTTGGCGCCAGAGAAGCGAGCGATGTTGCGCATGGGGCCACCGATGCCACACCCCATATCCAAGCAGTAGCTGTCCTTGCTCAGTCCCAACTTGGCGGCCAAGAAGTATTCTACTCGCTTGATCGACTCGGAGAACGTCTCTCCCTTGAAGCGGTTGGCAAAGTGGAACGATTGACCCCATCCGTACTCGTAGAAGTCAGTGACCAAGTCATAGAAGCTATCGACCATCAATTGGTACTCGCTCTGGCGCAGCTTGATACTTTCGTCGGTAGAGATCGCACCAGCTTCCTTACGGGCGCCCGTGAACAGCTTGTCGTATTGCTCAAAGCGCGAGTTCACGGCATCACGGCCCAACACAGAGTCCGGGTTGGACAAAAGGCGGGTGGATCCGAGGAGGGTCGTGGCAAAGTCCGACCCGTCCCGCTTGGTTTCGGTGTTGGCAACGGATTTGGCGGTTTGGAACAAAGCGGACGCAAACACAACGAGGGAGGCGGCAACCGCGCCCTTTGTGGTGGTAGAGGTTTCGATTTGCAGCACAAACAACGACGACGCAAACAACGCGATCGCGGACGCCGCGACCGAGTAAAAAACAGCCTTGGATTCGGCGCGGATCGCAGACACTGAGAATGCGACCAAGAGGAAGGACAGGGACGAGAAAAACGACAAGACGATCGTCAAGTCATGGGGAGCCGAAGTTTTTTGGTGCACCGTGGCCATGCGGATCGATGTCAGCACAAACACGGTGGCAACTGCCCAGTTGAACACTTGGCCGATAGGGAGCGAGCTCCCCGGAATAAACATGTTGAGCGCCGCCTTCGAGTGCAGGACGAGGGCCACACCGAAGAGACCCGCGGCCGCGCCGGCCGCAGGCCACACGCCTTCCTTGTTTTGCTCGAGGAACAGCTTCAGGCCGTCCATCATGTTTCCTTTGTCGACCAGAGAATTGGGGAATGGCAAAATTCGAAGGATGGGTCCTCGACAAGTCGTACACAGACGTCGTTCGATGGAATCAGTACGTACATTGTACAATGATCCAGCACTATAGTGAGGCGAGCGTACATTGTTCGTGTGACCATGCGACCAATGTACGAATTGAAGCAAACGCAGTGATTACTTTGCGATTACATTTGGCCGAGTGGAGATAAACTACGTTTAAACGTGGTGCGATAAACAAGGGTGGACCACAGCGGACGGCTATTGCCCATGCGGATACCTTTCCCCTTTTCAGCGTCGTCAAATCATCAGCGCCGAGGTGTCCAACGCGATGTCGATCCTTTTGTATCGTGGAGCGTGGCCTTCTTTGCGGGCACAGGCCTGCCCCATTCCGAGGTTCTTCTAAAAAACGTTAAATCCGTTTAAACAATCTAGAAATATCCATGGCAGTATATCTCGCCCAGTCGAATGTTCAACTTGCATTGTGGCGGAGGCAGGTCAGCCCCTTTACGGGCGACTCGAGTGTATGCTCGGGGCGTCTGCGATGGATACCTCGATGGCACGGACTTGAGGCGGCGCTATCGTCTACCCTCGAACACACGCGAAGGGGGTAGGCAATACATTTGGTACGATTGGGGGTGAATTATATGTTGCACATCCTCGGGCGGGCTGATGGGTACCACAACGCATGCACAAGGACAAACAACGTGCAGGCAGCCACTTGGAGTTATGGAGCTAGCGGGGGGGCGTAGCAAGGGGTGGCGATAGCGCAAGTCGGCGCTGGCCTTACCTGGACAGCGATCTTACGACGAAACCACATGAAACAGTTCTGAAACGGTGAACCTGAACGGAGCGACATACCAGCGGCGGGGCCATGGCGGCGGCATCAATGCGCAAAACCTTGTTTCGGAACAAAGCTGCAGCCTCGAGTACATGTGATGCCTGGCATTGGCATGGCCTAAGTCTCCTTGCCGTAGATGTAATCTTTGTTAACGGGATCCCGCTCAGCAAGGACATCTTGGAGGACCCGAGCAACAACGACGCCCCCGTCCAAGAGCACGAAGCGTTCTTGGACGCGGCAGAGGTTGATTCCCGTCGTCTGGTGTTAGGTGCCCATTCTCTCTAGATGTTCAAAAAGTACGACCGCGACAAGTCGGGCGGGATCGACATGGCCGAGTTCATGGTGTTACTCCAAGATTTGAACTTTGACATCCCCGACGGGAAAGCCGTTGTGTACTTTCGAAAGTGCGACGTGGCGCAAAAGGGTACTTTGCCATTCCCTGGTTGACCGTGGTTGATGGCGGCGGTGTGTGTGGTGGCCAGGATACATCACGTTCGACGAGTTTCGCGTCGCGCTGTTCACGTGCGACCCGTCCAATCCGGCGCGGACGGGCGGCTTCTGCCCCGGCAAAGCCCTCACGCCCAAAGATATCTTCACCATGTTTGACGCCGACGATTCCGGCGAGATCGGGCGCGACGAGTTCGAGCGTACGCCGTTCCGTCGATTCGTCGACACCTCAATCGTTGGGGCGCATTAGGTGTGCTCAAATTTCTCTCCATCAAAATGCCCCTCGACAAAATGGAGTCCATCTTTTCCCAGCACGAAAACGTACGCCACACGACGGCTTTCCCCCCTCTGCAGTCCAACCGGGCTGGGGGACGTGATTGCATTTTTCACCTTGCTGGTAGCCTGACTCGGAAGCCCTCGACTACAAATCGTTTCGCACGATTTGGCTCACGGTACGATACCACGACCCCCCCGTCCCTGTGTTCGGAAAAGTTTCTCGGTCGTATCGACGGATGTGTGATTGACATAGTTGGTGGACGTGCGCAAGGAGCTCCAGCTCCGCAACATTCCACATAACAAACTCTTGCCCAAGTCTGTGCTAGCCAAGAAGCTCGAGGGAATTCTGGACAAGGAAGATGCGCAAGAGCAGTACACGATCGACGAAGCCAAGTGGAATATTCAGTGGGAACAAATACGCAGCGACCGCGACCAGCTCGTGCGAAAGGCCAAGCGATTTGCCAACGTAATCGAACATGCTGCTCTGTCAAGAGCCACCTCTCACGATAGCCGTAGTACATCCTTGGCGACACCCTCGACGCGGCGGGCCAGGTATATGTCTTTGGTCGTGGTTCGTTCAACCGGTTCGACGGAGCAGTAAGCCGGTCAACCTGTTTACTGCGTTGGTTGGGTGACACATTCGTGCGGTCGTGCATTGTAGCCAGCTACCAAGGACTTTGTCGAGTGCCCATACTTTGAAAAGTTGCTGGCGCTGTGGACCGCCCGCGTGCGCGGTGCCGACGAGTGGTCGCCGCTTGTCGCCTCCCATCCATCGACGAAATCGGCCGGATGGGAATCCGCTGCCAAGAAACAAGAGCAGGAACTGCAGGCGAAACTGGCCGCCGTTGCAGCGAAGAAGCTCGATGCGGTCGAGACACAGCAGCTATCGTTTCAAAATCGCATGGTATGCAACAGGCATCTGCACCGGTGTGCACGACATGGCAGGCCATCCTTCACGAGCGAGAGCAGGCTAACGGACTCCCACGTAGGTGGCCGTCAACACGGCTTGGCTGTGGGGGCGCCGCATCAAGCATGTCAGTTGCGGCAGTACCGTGGCGTATGCACTTACAGACACTGGCGAATTGTACTGTTGGGGCGGATCCCAGCGTCGATGGAACTATTTGTACGAGCCCAACGACGAGACCGTGCCATGTACGACCAAAACGTCCACGGCTACGTGCAAAAATTGGTCTGAAATTGCCGTGTTGTAGTGGCCAACCGACCGTTCACAGCGCGAACAGAGCAACTGAAGCTCGTGGCGCCAGCGCAAGTTCGCCGGGACGCCCACATGCACGAGCAAAACTACGTTCGCAATATGTTTCGGGCAAATGCGCCCCCTGCTCCGCCCGTCGTATCCCCCGACCAGCAGCGCAAAGGGTACCACGTGCCCAGAGGGTGGGCAGGATGACTGTGTTGTGCCGTGCTTAGGGCGGTCGCCATCGTCGAGTACTTCAACTTGGGACAGACTATGCCGCCCGATGTTCGGGCAGCTCTGCCCCTCGACAAGTTGCAAGAAATCATCGAGTTCGACTTGTCCGCCGATTTGGCCGCCAACGCCATGCGTGTACGTGCAGTGTGCCTACGACGCATTGATAACGTTGGGACGGCAGCTTCGCGGGTTGGCGGTCCACGATGCCGGCAAACAAGCGATCGTGGACGACTTGTCCAAGGTGTTGGCGCTCGAGATTGAGTGCATGGGTGCTCCCTTCCACGACCGCATGAAGCGGCTTGACTTGAAATATAAACAAGCTCTCCATAACAACAATGCGAAGCTTGTGGCCGAGTGCGTTGCTCGGCACACTTGGCAGCAACGATGAACTCGTTTGCCTAGATTGCTGAAGCGAGGGGCGACAACGTGGAGGGGCATGCGGAAACTCCATCACGCCATCGACGACGTCGTGAAGGCCGAGTTCCAGGCAAAACAAGACAATTGGAACGCCAAGCGCGACGAAATTCGCCGGGTGCGGCTGAAACAAGACCGAATCGGACGAGAAAATGCCGAACCCGCGTCGGTACAAACACGTTGCGGCCACATCTCCGTTCCATGCAGCATTCGATCGCATAGACGAACCCGGCACTTCGAACGATCGAAGTCAGCGGACTGACGAGTCGAGGACCACCTCAAAAGCAATTCCACGGCGGCCATGCCTTGCAAGAAATCTCCGTCGGAGCTAAGCACGCGCTCGCCGTTCACGCATCGGGGTGCAAACCGTTGCATGACATCCAACCACTGGTTCTTCTCATCCATGTTGCGGACAGGAAAATTTACGGCTGGGGCTTCGGCACGTTCGGACGACTCGGGACCGGCGTCCACGCAGATTTACCTGTCCCGCAGCCCATGGCTCAGCTGGACAGCATGCGTTTCCGATCGGTTGCAGCAGGTTATTCCCACAGTTTGGCACTGCGCAACGATGGACAGGTGCGTCGTCGTCCTGGGTATTGAAGGTACACATCGGAGTAGGTCTTTGTGTGGGGCTCGGCCGCGACGGGGAAATTGGGGTTGGAGCCAGATGTGCCGCTACGACCACGCACGACGCCTGTCGGCCACCGACACATGTCCAAGCAGCCGGCTTCCTCTCTTCTATCGACGAACGGCGTCGACCTGGACATAACGGACTGCTTTACAATCATGCCATTGCCTCTGTCGCTTCCAGCAGCGGTAGGCCCTGCTTGGACATTCTTCCTTTGTGATGATGGAATCTAGGTACGAAAGATCGCGTGCGGGCCGTCCCATTCGGCCGCGGTCACGGCAAATGGCGAATTATTTGTCTGGGGAAGCGGCGACGGTGGCCGATTGGGGCTGGGCGACGGTCGCATCATGGGTACATCTTCGTTGCATCCAACACGACGTGGATTCATGCAATCGATGCGCAGACACGGACAATGAGCTCAAAGGCGGACTCCTCGGGGTCCTTACAGCACCAACGCTCGTGACGAGCTTAACGGGACAGTTTATCGTCGACGTGAGCTGCGGGGTGTCGCACACCGCCGCTCTCACGGCAATCGAAGCGGACATGGCACGTGGATCGAAGGGTGGCCACTTGTACGTCTGCGGCAGTGCGCATGCGCTCGGCAAGTTTTGCCCGGTATTCGTGGCCCTCCCCCAATTGAAGGGGGTGCCCATCTCGAACGTCAGGTGGGTTCTTCGATTCGCTCTGTACGCGGCACATCATTGTCCTGCAGCTGCGGCAACGCGCATACGGCGGCGGTCAGCACGGACGGTGAAATCTACACGTGGGGAAACAATACGGGCGGCTGCACGGGCCACACACTCGTCCATCGGTATGTCAAGGCCCCGACAAAGCTCCATTGTATGTACCAAATGCCGGAAAACATGGCGCGCCATACCAAGTACACGGTCGCCGCGGTGCAGAGCAGCGTAAATTCCGGGTATTCGGTACGACGGCATTCGACCACACGCACGGGCAGACGATGCTCATGGTGCAGGCGGCGATGGCGTTGGACGGCAACACGGACGGCCAGTTTGAAAGCTCGTGCAGCCAAACGTTTTGCGAGATCTGTCCATTCTGGCAGGTGGGGCAGCACGCTGCTCGACCCAACACTGACGGCGACGATGCAGGTGGATTTGGGTGTCCATTGCCGCGTCGACACGATTCGCGTGTGGAATCGGACCGGGGCGGACGGTCAGCGCCTGTTTCCATGCTGTGTCATGGTGAGCGAGTCGCCGTTCGAACCAGAGAGCGGCAAGTTCATGCTGCGGACGTGCAAAGCGCAAAGTGTGTGGACCAAATTCGGCGACGACTGTGCAGCCCAGAATCCTCTTGTGTGGCACGCCCCGGAAGGGACGCTCGGTACGTTGCTCGTCCAAGGCACACCACGACATGGGATGCGATCGCAGGTCGATTCGTTCGAGTTCAAGTCGAGGCCACGACAACATTGAGTCTCGCTCAAGTCGAAGTGCTCGGAGTCGAAGCGTCCAAGTGTGTGGGGCCCAAAGCCAGCTCCGTCGCGTGCGGCGACGATGTCACGATGGTGGTGTGTCGTCCAAATGTGGTGCAGAGGTGAGGCCGCCGGTCGTCATCCATGCCCAACGACGGGACGTAGTGAAATCGACAAAAAGTTCCTGCGCGCGCTGTGCGCCGACATCGACCACCTGGACGTGCTCAAAGAGTACCTCGCGTTTGCACCGTCCGTTCAAAAGTTTGCAGGCGACGTCCGGCCCCACATCACGCCGTGCCTCCTCTGCACGGCGCAGTACACGTGCCCGATCTGCGTCTTGTTCAAACAGATTCCGTCCACGTCGTTGCCGCCCGACGTCCGGGCCACGACGTCGTTGGATACATTCAGCGACATGCTGCTGTCCCATCGACCGCCTCGGACGTTTGCCACGTCGGCGGCGACCGTCATGATGGTTGGTGCACCCCTCTTGTCCGCCGGCATCTCAACTGTCGTGCAGACAGATGATGCCAACCGATTGCTCCAAATCGCTGTAGACGATGAAAAACCAGAGTCCGACTTGGCCAAGGCCCAAGACGCCGTGTTCGCGACCGTGCATAAAGGTGCCGTGGATGTCGTTGCTGTCGATGACGTGCCCGCTAGCGGTGACGACGACGGCGCATCTCGTACAATCCAACTCGACCGCCGTGCAAAAGATCCACGCCGCCGCGGCCGACCACCTCCAGAAACTCCAAGACCAAGCGCGCCCGATGTCCCGGTCGTTCCTTCGTAACGCCATGGCATCGTCCAAAGAGACATGGCAAAAGTACACGTCTGGCAAACCACCGCGCGAGAAATACACACCCTCTGGCCAAGGTGGCAACGCCGACGTCATTCGGGTGCAGCCAAAATCGGCATCCCGCCCACCACTCGACGACGACACAGCGCCCCTCAACAAGCCACGGACGCGCCACGCAGCGACCAGTCGGCTCCTCAACGGACGACCGGTCGCTGAATGACGACACGTTGCTAGAACCCGACACATGGATTAAGTTATCACGGCCCTCGACCTACGTCAATAGGTAGCTGGCGGCGCCGCGATCGAGACCGCGAGCCACTGGTCGGCTGCCGACCGGAGGGCAGTTGCTAGTTGATGTCGTTCGTGCGCAGCGGTCCAACTTTGTCGTGGACGCGTCTGAATCAGCGAGACACAGTCGCGCGCAGCATCCGCGACGTTTGCATGACGCGTTCCCACAGCTCGAGCAATATTTCGTTGGGGTCCGTCGTTACCTCGTGCAGATCCATGGCGGAGGTCGGAAGCAGCGGCTTTGTAGAAGAGATCACGACGTCTTCGTCGATTGTTACAATCGGTGCCGTGTGGCGACGTCCGCGGTTTGTGTGGTGGACTTGGCTGAATTCGGCACATCTTCGCTCGATGTGCATGCCAAGGCTGGTCACGAGGGTTTGAAGGGCTTTGAGTTGCGCAGCGGACGGGGCCACCGACAGAGGCTCGTGGCGTGCAATGTCAATCGTCCCGATGCATTCCTTATGCAGCGACGACGACACAAATACTGGCACTGACACATACGCCGACGCGTTGTGCTCGACGGCGAGAGGATGCGCTCGGAATCGCGCGTCGTTGGACGTGTCGAGGACAACGAGAGGCGTCGGATGCAGGATGCCGTGGGTGCAAGCCGCCTCCTCCCGCACAGTCTTGTCCGCCATGTCAAACACGGCGCTGTACCCGGTGCATGCCAGGTTGTACACAACGTGTTCAAACACGATGTGCATGGAACCGATAGGGGCGTTGCCAAGCACGCGCATGGCGTCCTGGACGTGCTTGGCGATGACTTGGTCGTGTTGGAGCACGTGGATGTGGGCCTCCATGTCGAGGCGGTCGAGGCAGTCGAGGCGCGATGCGTCCGAAGCCGGCCGCGGCGCTTTCGGAAACGGATGGATCCAGTCAAAGTCGAGGTCGGGCGAATCGTACGACCGACTTGAGAGCTTGTGTGAGCACCGAAACAGATCGTCTGGGTCGTTCAAAATCTTGGCCGAGACGCGGAGACCGCCGTCCTCCAAGAACGAATCGACCCTCGACTCGCCGTACTGACTGCCTCGCAACGTGTCTGTGTAGTAGTACGTTGCCTGGTCCCCGTCCGAGTCGTTGGTTGTCGTCGGGGTCAGCGGCGCGAATTTGTCGAGGTGGCTGGGGTCCGTTCCCGTCGGAATGGGCAAGAAGCATGTCGACTCCTCCGTGACGTCGAGGATAGGGACGGCTTGCTCGACAGGATCCGGGTCGTCGTTGTTGTTGACGTGGTGACGTGTCTGCGCTCGAGTCTGCGCATCGACCACGCACTTCCAGCACACCCGCTTGGTCCACGTCACTTTGACGGTACAGTCGCGGCAAATGACTCGTTCGCACGTCGTGCACCGATACTTCCAATGAAACGCGTCAAACGGGCGAACACAGCTCGCACACGACTTGGCGAGGCGGCGTTTTTTGCCGCTGCTGTCGGACCGACGTCGTAGCATCGTCCTGGCAATCGATTTCAAAATGAAGAGCCCACAACAAGCGCGAGAGCCCAGAGAGCCACTTCATCGCGACGAGGCCACCACCCAAACTGGAAACTGGCTCATTCACGCACCCACTCTTGACCATCAACGCCATTGTATCCAATCAATTGCGCGGATTCGGCCGGCCGCCTTTCTCACGGTCGCCGTCGGGCTGTTCGAACCGCGGGTGCAATGGAGTCCGCGCGCCGCGTCGCCCGCAGCGACGTCGACAGCCCCTAGACGCACACGGTGGCCACGCCCCTGCATGCGTTCCAGGCGCCGTGTCCGCACATGGCTCAGCGCCACGCGGCTGCTGCAACATGTCCGACGTGTGCATGTTGGCTCTCGTCGACGACGTGACTCGGCAGGCTGGCTAGTCGCTGGAAGAAATGCACGACCTGCTCCTCTGTCTGGTATCGGACGGAATCGCCCCCCAAATTCGCGCATTGTGTCACCGGAATATACGTTAAACTGATCCGAATCCACGAATCCATCGGTTGTGTGCCTCTTTGCACCCACACCGAGCGCCTGCATGCGGTCCACGGGCTGAACTATCCAGACACCGACGTTCAACAATCCACTGCACACGCCGAGGGGGTCGGCAGCAGCATTCTTCTGGTGCCCCACCTCTGCACTCGCGTCTCGAATGGCATCGTCGCCAAGTGAGGGGGGGATGGCCCGCGACAACCGATGGCGACGCATTCGACGACGATTCCTCTCGGAGCTGAAATATGACCCAGCAAGTTGAACGGAACCGGGTCGACCCCAACCAAAGCTCGTGTCGGGATGACTCAACGCTTGCATCCAATGTCCACCCGGCGCAATACGTGGGACGAGAGCGAGTAGATCGTTGATGCCGATGGCGGTGGGCTTGTTTTGGTACGCCGTCCCAGTTTGCCGAACGGCGTAGGGATGTCCTGACAGGGCTGCATCGAGGGGGAGGGGAGTGCATGATGATTTGTGTGCGTTCAAGTCGAGCTGGGTGGAAGGAACGGTAGCCGTTCGTTGGGCTCTGCACCAGGTTCGCGCGTGCCGTGCAGTCGAACGTTGACAAACTGCCTTTCAAACCACACCGCACCACGACGGAGTTGTTTGGACGAGTTGGTTCGCCTTTTGCTGTGGAGTTTGTCGACCCCAACGCGCGTTGCAACAGCCCTCGACTGTGCCGTCCACGTGGGGGGGGGTTGTCCAATCACTCCAGCGAGTTCGTGCCAACCCATCGGTTGGTGTGTTGAGGCATTGCTTTGGTCGGGTCTGGCCCATGGAGGAGGAGGATCGACGAACGAGTCAGAACGACGCCACCGCCGCGCGAGTTGTCCAGAGCATTCCATGGTCAACATGGCCCCTTCCCAGCCCATAGACGCCCTGAGGGGGCGACACGAGAGGTGGCGAGCACTGTTTTCCGTATGTGGTGCGCGCGCCATGCATCATGTCATGCCCTCGCGCAGCAACGAAGCTGTGTGTGTGTGTGGGGGGTGATCGGGCTTACTGAAGGCCAGGGTGGAGAGGGCACGGCGACCCCGTCGCCTGAGTGGGCGCCTCGAGGGTGTGTCTCCGTCGTTCTTGCGAGGAACGGCCCACACCGGCAATGGAAACTCCCTTCCGTGGGTCTAGCACCTAGACGAGCTCCTGCGGTCGGTGGGGTTTCCGACGAGGGCAGCGTCGACGTGCAAGGAGAGCCGACTTCGTTGATGTTGGTGGTGAAGTTGACGTTGCCGATGCCAGTCCACGGCGGCGCCACCACGGCGAAATCCCCGATTTGAGTACAGTGAACTCCGGAAAATGCTGACCCCCCCACAGCCGACCACCTCCAAAACCTCATTTAAACAATTCTGTATACTTCAATACTCACCCATCAGCCATGCCAATCCTTTTGACCAATTGCAGTGTAGATACAAGAAAACTCAAAGGTAGACGGACTGAAAATGTCCTGATTATAGCCAATCAACTTGAACTAACGTAATTTTTAATAAAATGGATTTTATTCCGCCTCGATGCATGAATCGAGAGCGGCTTTTTTCGGGGACGCTCGGGACGCAGGTTCGCTCTCGACCGAGGACGCGACCGGTTCGTCGCGCACTGGTCCCAACACAAGTGGGTGGTTGACGCACCAAGGACACGCCGGTGCGCAAACGTTGTGGTTGCATCGTCGGCATGAACCGGACAGAGGGTTGGGAGCGATCATACCATAGGTCGAGGGGCAGCCCCCACATGGAGTCGCCGGCGGCGTGAACGAACGGGCCAGCCTCGCCCCTCGCCGCAGATTGTATCCCTCGCTGCATCCGGCAACGACCATGCCACACCTTTGGGGATTTCGCCGACCCGACGACGCTACTTTTCCATCCTCACGAGTCGCACCTTGCACTGTCTCGTTGAAGTTTGAGTAGGGCAAGGTCGACAACGACGTGCGCAAGATCGCGACGATGCAAAGTTGCATTTGCCACGTGCAGGATGGAAGGTGTGCCGTTGCTGACGTCGACGCAGTCGACGGTGGCGCCGCCTGCCCGATCGTTCAAGGCGCTTCTGGGCGTTGCGTTTGTGTTTGCCGGCATCTTTGTGTGCTCGGTGGTCACGGTCAACCAGCACACGACCCACGGACCGTCGCCGCCGTCGTCGAATGCCACGGCGTTTTCGGGCGACTTGCGCAAGCGGTGCTCGGAATTGTACATGACGCAAACGCTCAACCATTTTGAAGCGATCCCGGACACGTACAGCCAACGGTACTTTGTGTGCTCGGAATTCTGGCACGGCGACGGCGCGCCCATCTTTTTTTACGTGGGCAACGAAGCCGACGTCGAGTTGTATTTGAACCACACGGGCCTCATGTGGGAGAATGCGGCCGAGTTTGGCGCGCTCCTCGTGTTTGCCGAGCACCGATTCTTTGGCAAGTCCGTCCCGTACGGCGCCGACGCGTCCAAACATTTGCAACATTTGTCGTCGGAGCAAGCGCTCGCGGACTACGCGGTCTTGTTGCGCGAGATCAAGGCGGCAAGGAACGTGACCAAGAGCGCCGTCATTGGGTTTGGCGGGTCGTATGGGGGCATGCTCGGCACGTGGTTCCGCATCAAGTACCCCCATGTGATTGACGGCGTCATTGCCGGATCGGCCCCTGTGCTGTCCTTCCTCGGGGACACCCCCCCCGCCAACCTGACAGCGTACAGCCAAATCGTCACGTTTGATGCGTCGGCTGCCGGTGGCTCGGTGCCGAATTGCGTCGCCAACGTGCGGCGGTCGTGGGATGTGCTGTTCGAATCGGCCAAGACAGCCGAAGGCCGCAAGTTTATGGGCGATGCTCTCGGGCTGTGCGAGCCGCTAGCCACGGAAGAAGACGCGCTGTCGATTCCTGGATGGATGAAGAGCGCGTACGAGTACTTGGCGATGGGCAACTACCCGTACCCTTCGTCGTACATCATGAACGGCGTGAGTGAACTGCCAGCGTACCCGGTGCGAGCCGCGTGTTTGCCGCTCGAGCCGCTCTTCCCCGCCACGAAAGAAGGCAATCGGTCGCTCCTGCACGCCATGCGCGCCAGTATCGGCGTGTACTACAACAGCACGTTCGACACGCCGTGCTACAGCACGTCGTCGCCGTCGGCCGAGAGCCAAGTGGACGCCAACTATTGGGACTACTTGTTTTGCTCCGAGCTGTACCAGCCCCAAGACCAAGGGGTGAACGACATGTTTTGGCTCGACCTGCACAACGACACGGCGATGGCGGAGGAGTGCCTCGCCCAGTGGAATGTGACGCTGCGTCCGCTGTGGGCGACGACCGTGTACGGCGGCCACAAGGCGCTCAAAGACACGTCGAACATTGTGTTTTCCAACGGCAATTACGACCCGTGGTCCGGCATGGGCGTCCTCGAGGATATGTCCGAGTCGGTTGTCGCTGTCAAGGTTGACGGCGGCGCGCATCATTTGGACTTGATGTTTTCCCATCCGCTCGACTCGCCGGGGGTCAAGGCAGCGCGTGAAGTTGAAAAGGCCCATATCCGCAAGTGGATTCAACAGGTGCACGACGCCCGTGGGAAAAACTAGTGGCGACCACGGCGCGCGCTGCAATCGATGGTCGTTGCGCATCGGAGCTGCCATTGCTTTCTTAAACACGTGACCACTTGACCAACGATGATGCATTTCGTTTACATGTCGTACTCTGGTTGCCGTCCCGACGTGCTGTGCAGGTCGAAGTCGACTTCGGACGGGTCGTCCACTTCGTACTCGGACCCGATGTCTTCCGAATCGCCGCCATGGCGTCGGTGGAATGTCGACGTTGTGGTCGACAACGGCTCGCTGCCGTAAATGTCCGACGACTCCGCCGTCGGGTCGACCGTCCAAGGCAGAGGTGGCTGCACCTTTGACGGCGGCAACGGCGCCAAGACAGAATCCACCGAGTGGGTGTCGATGCTCACATCGGACATTGTTTTTCGCGACCGCGGGGCAAACGGTTGGCGGCCGTATGGATGGTTGGTTGGCATGCTTTGTCGCCCCCGTGATCGCAACGTGGGCACTGGTTGCGGCGGAACGACAACAGGAATGGCAGCACGACCGGGTCTGGAAAACTCGACCAAGGACGAGCGACCCATGGGGTGGTGGGGCGCGGTCGGCAGATTGGGAAGACTCATTCGTGACGTGATCCCAACGGGAGCCGCGGCCGGAGTCGCCCGGGGAGCTGCCCCATGGTCTGCTGCTTGTTCCAGTGGCTGCAGCATGCGAAGGATCGCGTTAGCGAGGGCCTGGCATTCGACAGGTCGTCGAAGGGTGGCCAGGTCCGCCGACCCGTCGACAAAACTCATCAAGACGTGCATCATGTCGAGGTCGCGTACAAGCTGCAGCGCATTGAACAACTGCAGTCGCTTGGGCTGGGCCAGGTGATTCTGACATGCATCCCCACAGTGATGACCTCCCGTGCTCGACGACGGCGACCGTACCTCAAAAATCGTGCGCAGGATGTCCAAGACAAGGGCTGGGTCCTGGTGCTTTCGCGCCAGCGGGGCAAACAACGACTGAATGCAGTCGGGGTGGTTGAACGCGCCGTTGGTCGCAAACACTTGGATGAGGCGCAGGACACACGTTTGGGGAAACCCGATCGCACGTTCGGACTGGCACTGCGCTAGGAGGCCCACGAGGTCTTTGCACAGCGTTGTGGTGTCCTCTGTCGTCGCCTTTACGTCCACGTACTCCTACCGACAAGGGCGTTGTTGAACCGCGACCACTTGGACAAGGTGTAGTATACCCGATAGATGAACACAAGCGCGTTGGTGAGTTTGTTGACCAGGCCAGCGTTTTCAACGTGGCGGTCGACCAGGTCGGGCAACGTGAGCGGTACGCTCATCATGGACTGCGACGCCAGCGGCATGAGTTGGGCCAGTTCGTGCTGCCACACGGCCACCAGCTGTGACGCAATGTGGCACGGATGACGGAGAGAAGTCGCTTCGGGGTTTTGCAAAAACAGATCCAAGTAAAAGTCGCCGACGACGAGCCCGTTGTCGAGATGGCTGTAGTCCATCCGATCGTCGGGAAACGTCGGGTTTGGCTTGGACAGGACGGCGTCGACATGCATGCGGAGGTCGCCACGAGTCTGGTCGTTCCAAATGAGCTCGGCATCGTACGCCGATTCCTACGCGCCATGAGCCCTTCAAGCAGCAACGACGTGTGTGGTGCAGTACCTCAAACACTTCTTCAAACACTTCCGGGTCGTCCTTCAGCGTGTGAACCAACGAATACGGCAGGAACATCTTGAGTCGTTCGAGAGCAAGTTGCTGCACTTCCGGGGCGCCATGGAGCAATTCGTACCACACCTAGCGCAGCGCCATGACGATGTATCCCGTCGTCTTTTCAAGAAAATGTACCTCGGCCGCTGGTCCTCGCAAGGTTTCGGCGGCCACGTGCTGATCTTCCGTTACGTAGTGCTTGGCTTGGATGGTCATCGAAAACAATTCGATCCACGCCGACGTCGTTAAAATGTGCATTGAAACGTCTGGGCTCGCTGCGCACAGTTCCTCGAGGCACGTCAAGGGGGCTTCGTTGTCGCCGGCCTGCAGTTCCGCCATCGCAAGCATGTCCTTGCAAAATGGGCTCAAGGGAGCGAGCACCGGAGCGTCGCAGTGCCGTGCGAGCGCTTGCATGCACGTCGTGGCCACATCTCGGCGTTGGACGGCGTCGACGTCGAATCCGCCATTCGACTTGGGTATGCCCATTGTCATGTACATCCCCAACGCATGGAGGAGGGGCGGCTCAGAGAACGAGGACAAGCAACTGCGCTGGACATCGGCCGCGCTCGTCTCCGTCAGCAAGGCAAAGCATTCCAACGCAAGCAGCGTCTCGTCATAGCGGGGGCGGTCGGGCAAGGCGTGTTCGTACAAAAACACAAGCAGCAACTCGCAGAATTCGACGGCAACTGCAGGCGGCAGCGTGCGCACCGGTCCTTGTTTGTACACACGCAGGAAAATACCGCCGACGACAGGCTCGCCCTCCAGCGCGTCGAACGAGAACTGACTCGCCACGGCGTCGAACGATACCGTCGGAACTTGAAACTCGAGCAGCGTGTCCAAGTACGCTTGGACTTCGCGGCGCATGTCGTCGAACCAGATGAATTGCGGCACGTACAAGTCCTGGAAGACACTTGAAATGAGAACGTCCATCGGTTCCGACTGCATCATGGTCGGCGTCCACATGGGAATGAGTTTGGTGAGCGCAGTTTGCACAACCACACGTGGCTTGGTGTCGTCGTCGTAGCCTGCCAACACGCGCACGCAACGCAGTGCCGCACAGACGAGCTGCTGCTTGGACATCTGGGCGCCGTGAACCACGATGAGCTGCAGGGCGTGCCAAAACACCATCGTCGAGTCCAGAATGGTCGTTTGCGCGGCTTCTTGGCGCCCCATGAGGCTGAGTATGTCCAACGCCAAGATGATCATGTTGATGTTGACGTCGCTCACGTCTTGGTGGATTAATTCGCTCACGATCGTGATGACAGGTCGAATCGAGTCCTTCTTGGCAGGGTTTTCATGTTCAAAGGCCAATTCGTCTCGACCGACGTCCGTGTTGGCCACTGCCAGGAGCACACGGACACTCAATCCGCCAATGTAGTCGAATGTCGAGTCCGACTCGGATACCCACCCGGTCTGGGATCGACGACATAAATCCGTAATCTTGATGATCGTGCTCAGCCCTTGCGCGCTAGACCACACCACGTCGCGGTCACAGTCCCGACGCGCACGGAAACGTCCTACCGAAGCATCTGCTCGACGTTCCATGGGGACGAAATCATGGTCGCCAAGAGCAGCTCCATCGAGAGCGACAGAAGCTCCATCGCGTGCGTGTCATGCTCGAGCGAGTATTCGGGATTTTCCATGTCGAGACGAAAGTCAAACTGCGCCAACAGTTTGAGCAGCAAATCTACGCAGTCAACGATTCGAGCGGAACGACGGTCGAGCCCACGACCAGATGAAGGTACATACCATACGCGTCGTACGGAATCGATTGAAACGACGATGGAAATGTGTCGTAAAACAGCAATTGCGTCCGCAGCAGCAGCGACAACGTTTTGTGCGGCAGTTTGTCCAGCTCGCATGTGCTGTCCGAAACGCAACTGAGCACGACAAACGCTTCGTTGAGCTCGGCAATGTCGATCCCGTCACTAAGACAGACGGCGCGGAAACGAGACCGAAGGAACGCCCCGTCTATTTCAAAGTCGAGCTCGGACGCATCCAATTGCAAGATCTGGCGCGCTTTCGCCTTGGACATTCGGCCTACCAGACATGCGTGTCACGTGTTCGTTCAAGGCGGCACCCACCTTCGGCTGTGGCGATTTCCTGGCGCCACGTGCTGTGAACAGCACGCATGAACGCGAGCGGATCGTCAATCGTGTCGATGACGCGCCCCGATGCCGCGCCGCGATGGCACGTGTCCGATGCTGGACTGTCGTCGTCATAGTCGGACATGGCGCCATCGTCGTCTTCATCGAAGTTGTCGACGGGATGCGTCGACGCTCGCGACGACGGGTTGGTTGGCACATGGCCTTCGTCATCTTTATCGTCGGCAAACAGCCGAGACAAGTGCATGTTGTACACGTAAATGTCGTCTTGGAGTTGCATGTAGATGACTGGCGGCATCGGCGAGTACTCAAACCTGCGGGATGAATGAGAACGAGCTCTGCCAACGTGGCGACTCACGTGGCTGTGCTGTCTTGATGCAACCGACACACAAACGGGGCCAAATGCTCGTGCAACATGTCTTGGAGATGGTCGCGCATCGATTCCGTCCATAGCACTCGATGGTCGTCTGCTTGGAACGCAAACACGTCCGCAAAGCTCGTCGGTCCATCCAAATCCAAGATTCGAACGAGCGCTTGGGGCAACAACCCGTCCAAGACACTTTTCGAGTGGTGTCCTGCCTGGCGACGATGCGTCAGCTCGAGCACCACAGCATGCTCGTAAAACGACACACGGCTGGCGCTCGCAAACATGAACCAGATCGCGCCGCACCGATACAAGTTGGTCGCCTAGTGGATGGAAACCACGTCAAGCCAAAGTTGTCGCAGCTCGGTTCGTTACCGTAGCTTCGTTGTGAACGACGAGTCGATGCAAGATGGAAATGGCGTTTTCAACGATGGCAGGCTCTTGGCACAACAGCAGCTGGACGACGCACGCCAACGAAAATGGATCGCTCAGGTATCGTTTCCCCTGCGGGTCCGTCAGCACGAGCCCTGCGCTCGTTTCGCGAGTGGCACGTACCGCTGGCACCGGCATCAACTGAAGGCCCGTCGGGGTTCGATCCATTTCAGCTTCGACGAGCGATCGAACCTAAAACCACCAACGTCACGACAACCACGTCGCAACGACATGTTGCCGTCGGTACCAAGGACGTTGTGTAAATGCACACGTTGACGTGGAGCGGAGACTGAACAAACAGACGCCATCGTACGCGAGGCACGCGAAGGAGGGGCCGCCACTCTCGCTCGTCCGGCATGCGATCGTTGTACATGGACAGGAGCATGTGGGACCAGTCTGTGCCTTTGGACGTGCAAATCGCGAGAAGAATGCTTTCAGGATGCGGCCCCGACACGCTGTTCAGGTCGTTGTCGGTCATGATGTACCTATGGCCACGCGTCACTACTACCCACTTGCACACGAGCCATCATCCACCGACAATGACGCACCAGTACACTTCGCCTTGAAAGTTGTCGTCGATCGTGTCAATGTTAGTCTCTCCCACGTCGAGATCGTCCCCTGCGTCGCGTTTGAAAAAGTTAAAGTACGAAAATGGCTTGGGCGACCGATTGTGGGCGGTCGCAGCCTGTTCGACGAGCTGGAGTTGCTTGAGGCTCTTCATCGATCGCAGCTTCTTCGACATGACGTTGCTCATCGTCGACTGCAACGGCGTGTGCTCATGGACCAACGTCGACATGTCGAGGAACAACTCCATGTTGTGCTTGGTTAGCAGCGCCAAAGACGTCGTTTTGTCCGACGCGACCGTGCTCAGCCACGACAAGAGCTCCTCGATGATGGGAGCACGCGTCTCGCCTCGTAGCATGCGGACCACGTACGCCACCTTCTCCAACTGCAACAAAAAAGTTAGGCAAAGGCAGACAAAACGTCCACCGACCTCGACGCTCCCAATCGAGTACGCCTTGTACGTGGCGACCATTAATTGCAGACACCAGATTTCAGCGTTGTCGTGCTGCGGAACGACAGAGCCTGAATCCTGTCCTCGGGGAAACGCTGGATTCGGCGCTGGGTTGCTGGAAAACGGGAGCTCCTGCAGCCACCGTTGAAAGCACTGGTCAAAGAAGCGCTGGGGATGGGTGGCGATTTCCACGATCGAGTGGTTCACGCGCAACGTCATGCTCTTGCGAGAATCCAAGTTCAAGTCGACAAAGTCTTGCTTGCGTCCGAGGCCACCACCTTGGGGCTCCACGAGCACCAACCCGTCGTGTACGTTGTCCATAAGAATACGCAAGTAGAACGGGCCGACTCGGATTTCCTTGTTCAGACTCGCATATTGCACACGGAACGAGCAATGATTCCACGCAAACGCCATCGAAGTGAAGTACTGTTTCGGCGGGACCATATCTTCGTGGTCGACCAGTGCTTCTTCCAGCGCATACTTGAGTTCCTTGGACGTGGTTGGGTTCCAAATCAAGTCAGGTAGCGCAAACGAATGCAGGAGTAAATGGGCCAACAAATGAATATCCCGACACGTCTCGGATGTGTAGTTGCCGGTCTTGCGGTTGCGCGCGTGGATGTCGAGCTCTGTCGCCGTGGGGTATCGTTCAAACCGGTAGTACAACCGCTCGCTCAACAGATCGTCGGTGGCAGCCATGTCGTCTGCTTCACACGGCCTATCTTCGGGCTCGATTTCGTCGTCGAATTGAATCGACGACCGCGAGTATATGGAAGATCTCTCGCGGACAGACTCGATGCCGAGCATACGGAATCCATCGCCGTACATGTCCATCATCTAGACAAAAAAATACACCCGCGTCAGACAGCCAGCACTCGCCAAAATTGGCGCACCATCTTTTTCGTCGACGGATGGGACAGGATGCGCAAGAACCCACTCGGTAAGATGCGCTGGAGCAACGCAAACGACGGCGCGTGGCCTGTCATCCAGATAGATGCAATGAACTGATGCACAAACCGTTGATCTGGCGTAGTCGCAAAGATGGCTTTGTAAAAATGGCGCAGCGTGAGGCCGCCGTCGAGCGCCATGTTGCAAATTGCCATCCGAACAGGAACGTCACTGTTCTCAACGACCGTTTTCATGATCATCACGCATGACTCGAACGTGCCAGGGACGGGACGGCGGTGGTACAAAATACTAAGCACGCGCGGATAGATCTTGCCGAACGCGACGACAAGATCGGCGAAGTGGACGTTGTTGGTTGAGTGGCGTGACGTGCAAAAGATGGAATCGAAAAGCGCGGCAACAGCAAGAAGGGTCAACGGGCGCTGCATCGAGTCGTCGAATGCAGCTAGAAGATGTTGAACCAGCCGCGAGTTCATGAAAATACGTTGCTTGTTCGCGACTTCCTGGGCCTTGCCAGCAGGAGACCCCGTCGCGTCCTCGGACAAGGCGTGCAACAGCGTGATGGCCCAGAAAATTGCAGCTTCGTTGTCGGTCGTGTGCACAGCCAAGAGAATTTCGAGGAGGCCACAGCCAGGCATGTCGAGCAAATTCAAGTGGGCGTGTTGCAGCCAGCAAAACGCTTGCAAGATTGCAACTATCGATCGCATGTCGCGGGTTTTGCACGCCATCATGAGCTAGACACATCGTCGCATGTTGAAAAAACCCCCAGTGGTCAAGCGGTCTGTCGTACTGTGTCCGACATTTCTTTGCACAACTGGGGCATCCACGCCGGGTCGCTCGTGAAATGCAGTGGGGTGTCTCGGCTTACGTTGCAATTCGAATTGAACTCTTCAATCGCGTCGACAAACGTGTCGCGGGAATGCGAAATCTTGCTCAAGTAGTACATGCCCATCCTACAAATGTACCCACGTCATTACGTCGTCGTGCGCCCAGTCGTTGGACATTATACCCGCCCTGGCCAAAGTAAAACTCGCGCTCGTCCAGCGTGCGCAGGATGCATCGAGGCAACAGCGGCATGATGAGCGCGGTTGGCGCAATGTGCATGCCAATGCACATGGCTCCGTTCGCGATTGTGGCGTCGGTCTTGACATGCATACATGCGTCCAAGAGCGTCGCCAACATGACGTCGCGCTCGACCGAGTCGTACCAGAGCGACTTGCCATTCGCAAGCACGAGTTCAAATCGTTCGTCGTGATGTTGCAGGCGCGTGATCTGATGCACTTGATCGAACGACCACAGCCGCACGTTTGTGCGGTTTTCGTCGCATTCCACGACATACGACGACGTCAACGCAAGGAGTTTGGGTTTCCTACGCATGGTTGGTCAAGTCTGGCGCGTGTCCCGGCATGCCACTCACTGAACGTTGCTATCACGGGGGTCCACGCGTTTTAATGCGAACGTGGCGTGCAAGACCAAGCCCAACTCTTTCACGGTCGGCTTGGTCGTGTGGATTTCGTTGTTTTGATACAGACCCGCCATGTCCAGCTGAATGCCCAACTGGCCAGCCAACGATTGCCTGGAAGATGCACATATGAGCTCCGATAATCAAACCCAAGTCCGTACATGCGATCGAAGATTTCGCCGCGTTCGTAGGAGTAGACAACGCGGTGGCGGTCGTTGATGGAGACGACGAGTCCGCATGGATCTTCGGCCATAAAACCAACCAGCGCGTCGTCGAAATGGGAAAAATCGTATGTCGACTTGCTTCCGGACGGCGTCGTCACAACGAGCCCACTGGGAACGACATAAATCGCGCTCTTGATCTGGCCGTGCTGCTGGGTCATCTTGGATCCTTCGTGCTTGACCGCATCCAAGCCAAGGCACTCAATGGCCACGTCAAAGTTCCCTTGAACGAGGTGCATCCAGTGCTGCAAAAAATGCGCACGGTAACGGTACCGCAGGCGCAATGCGACCGCATTGGTTTGGTGGCGCAAATCGTCGGCCGGGTTGTGCGCCATGAGAAAGCTATGGTACTGCTTGATCATACGTTCGGGGCTTTCCATCCAGAACGTCCGCGCAGTCGAGTGGCCAACCGCCGCGTGAGATGTATTCCACTGATGGCACGTGGCGTCATGTGTCTTGGAAAAGCTCAACACGGTCGTGTGGATCATGTGGTGCATGATACAAACACACGCTTCGACTGTTGCAGTCGGTGCAAAGTGGCACAGTGTGCGCACGAGCATCGAGTAATGCATCGAGAGGTGGTTGAGCAAAATGTTGAAGAGTGGGTCGACCCCAGATTTGACGTTCAAGGACAGCAGCGCTTCCAGGACATGACAGACCTGTCCCAGCACAATTGGGTTGTTCTACGGCGATGTCATGAGCCATTCCAGATCGTTTCCAGCCTCAGCCAACGCCAACGTACGTGGTGGATTTGAAACAGAGCCAGGAGCGCTGTGAAGAAGCCGTTGTGCGACAAAAAGACCTGGAGAACTCGCATCAGGTATTGCAACTTTGGAAGAAGAGAAACGAGGGAGCGTACTTTGCGGCTTTGAAGCCGGTCGGGGCCGTGCAACAACCTCGTCAAGAGCTGCAACACCGCGTAAATTGATTGGAACTCGTTGCGTTTCAGGATGTCGGCCATGGCGTCCATGTATTCGGAACGCTACAAAACAAAGCGCATCCTTGGTGTGACCTTTCAAACGACGACCTTTCTTCTTACGGCAAAGTGCTCGAGCGCTTGTTTGGCGCTGACAGGACTCGCTACAAGACGATACAGGCACTGGAAATACGCCGCGACGGCGTCCATGGGGCTGTCGGGCTGGCGTAGCAACACCATGTTTGGTACCTAGTCGATTACGATCAAATGGACGACCTTTTCACGGGTTAACTCACGTCGGTGATGAGCAAACTCGTGGCTTGGGCGACGTTGTCCTTGATCTTGGACGAGAGGCCACAGAGCGGGACGTTCGAGTTGAAGTCTAGCACCATGTCGAGGTGCGACGTCGTGATGGCCTTGGACTCGGTTGGTTTCTTTTTGACCCGCAGGTGTTGCAACAGCGACGGCGTTTTCAGGGCCACGGCGCTGTCCGTATCAGGCTTGTCGCCCCCGACAAGCCGATGGAGCCAATTGACTTGATACCACAACACTTCGGCCGGAATCGACGTCTTCATAAGCATGCGCCGTAGAAAGAGTCGACTGCCGCTCGCCGTGCGGGTTTTGTTTAATCGGACAAGCGTGCCACGCGACTTGCACGCGTCCAATAGGTGGGCGATGATCGCGTCCCGGTGCACCGAGTAGTACGTACGTCGCAAGCCGCTACCGAACTCGACGTCGAATTCGTCGCTCGCGCCTTCGTTTCTGCTCCGGCAGCATGAAAGCCAGAGTGAGCTTACCATGGTGTTTCATGCAGATCGTAGCGAGTACCGGACAATCTCGTAGAGGCTCGTCAATGGTTGTGCAAACGTGATGAGGCGGGAATGGTCGCGCTCCAGGAGCCACGAGTCTGTGAGCACCAACGACCCGTTGTCGACAACGTTTTCCTGCAAGTAGTCACGCCGTGCTTAGATGATATGGCGAACAAACAACGACGGCCATGTTGTAACATGGATCATCGAGCGAATTGAATGGAATCGTTACCTGGGAGAGGTCGGGAAATTGGGCATCATATGAGACCAAGACGGTGTCCAAGTCGAACGGTGTGAAGTGGACGTGCTGCGCTTGTAGCTCGACCGCCGGCTTGTCTCGCGAAGTAGACACGACGATATCGTGGGCCAAGGCTGCTTCAGAGATTGCCCGGACGACGTCGTTGGGACTCGGCACGTGGAATAGATGCGACAGGTCCGCCATGCGCAAGACGAGGAGAGTCGGGTCGTCGTTGGCAAGCTCCACGGCCTGGAGCTTCGTCAGCTCAAAGTATGGGAATCGACCGCTCGTGCCTCCTGTATTTGTCATCACGGTGGTTGAGATACAACGGTTGGGACGTTGGAAGCGAACATACCGAGCTGGTACACAGCGTCGACGCCGACTTGGAGGACGCAGTCAACGAGTGTGCATTGCACTGTCGCTGCGGCTTCCGTCTCGACCTGGTGGTCATTCTCTTGGTGCAGAGTGAACGTTTCAACGTGTGCATCGAACGACGTGAGCTTTGCGAGGATGCTGGCGTTCTTCATGCGGCGCTCGATGGCAAATGCCGCTCGCACACGCGACAGAGCTTGCAATACCTCGGCACGATAACGATGACGCAACTTCAAACTCACTTTTTTTTTCAAGCCAAACATGTTGATCGTGAATTCCTACAGGAAGACTTGCATGAGCGAGCGACGTTTCGACATGGCGTTGTGTACCGAATTGTCCTCGAGCGAAATGTCGAGAGAGGTGATCGCTTCGTACGACCACTCGTTGGTGATCTCACCCGACTTAGGGTGCATTGTGGCAAACGTGTACGGGCGAAATCCGAGGATGCGTTCAGTTTTGCCGCTCCATTTGACCTTCGCGACGAGGAACCGATCCGTAAACGTCATGGCATCCATCGTGGTGGATCTTGGCCCGCAACGGTGTGGACAAGATGCTTCTACTACGCCGTACGTTGTAAAGTGAGTACTACCACCACCACCACCTACCATGTGCTGAGCAGACGTTGTGACTTGCATGCTCTCTGGCATCGTGCAGAGGGATGGCGCATCGCGTGCGGAAATCACGGCCCTGCTTCAACATGTACTTTTTTACCATTTTCAAACTCGAATACAAACACCTTGTTATATTTTTTGTTTTTATTTAACGGAGACTTTTGTTGGATTTTTTGGAATTAGGTGTATTTTTGATTTATTAACATCGTACATAGTATTCTGAAAAATCCGTCGATTTTTGAATACACCTGTTCCATGTAACGAGAACTGGCATCGGCGGCGATGTTGGCGAAAATGGCGGTGACAGCGAAGCTCTAGTTCTTCTTCCGAATGGAAAACAGCTTGACGTCTGTCATGCGCGACGGATGCGCCCACACAGCACCCGACTGCTCGTCGATGGGAATTGGAGTCAGCGTGAACTCGTTGTCGAGACTGTCAAAGAACTGCTTTTCTTGGGGATGCCGTGATCGATGCCCCATGAGAATCGTAGTGCTGGGTGTTGTGAGGTCGCGCAACGATGCAATGAGGGGCTCGTATCTACTTGAGTTCAAGTCCTAGACGTGAGATGCATGTCGTTGTGGCGCAGCATTACCCGAATGGATCGTACACCACGTCCGACATCAACACAACGTCATAAGGAGCGCTGAGGTGCTCAATAGAAGTTCCCCACCAAAGAGGTCGCACAGAAGCTTCGTCCTGGAGATCATTCAGTCGCACGTTGTACTCAAGCAGAGGCACGACATCGTCTATGTCGGTGAGGACAACGGACGCCGCACTCGACAGCGCCGCGCACGCGAGGCCGATGAGGCCAAGGCCGCTGCCCAACTCAATTACGTGTTGTCCTGCGATCACCTCGGGATGTGCTGCCAAATACGCGGTCAAAATCAAGCTGGAATCCCACAACTTGCCGCCGATGCCTACAATGCCTCCATGACCCCAGCCGTCCATCAGCTCCATGCAAATGCTCGTACCGAGGTTCCCAGGCGATTCGGCCAGAGTGATGAAGCGTTCGGCGCCGTCCACCCACACACTGCGGCAGCACTGGATGCCTAATGGATCGTTTTCGTGCTCAAACAAGATGGTGGATGACGTGGGGTGAGTTGCTTGAATCGGCAATGACACGACAGGAAGCACATCGTCGAGGTGGTGGCCTTTCGCCAAGTCGCCGCGGAGCGACAGTCGCGGCAATGGATGGTCAGCGGTGATAGCCGCGGTTGAGATGATGCGCAGGCGAACTGTGGTTTTGCCGTTAACGCCAATTTCGACGGGCAACGACTTTGAATCGATTTCAAGCGCGACATCCTTCAGTGATGTCCCAGAGAGACTATTGATGGACACAGAAAGGGGTACGGAAGATGAAACGAGCCCGCGTTGGAAGAGTCCGAACTCGTTAGCGACAAAGAATACAACATCGACCCACTGGGAGACCGGGAGGTGCGACGGCAGCATGCTCCCAAAGTTGAGTCGGATTGATTGCTGACTGTGCACAAGTTTCCCGACCTCGTATCGTTCAGCTTTCGCAGCGGCCGTATCCGACTTGCAATTGCATTTGAGCCGGCGTTGCGTCGTCAATGCGAAGGACAGCGTCGAAGCATCTAGCGACAACGTGAGCATGTGTCGGACATGCTTTAAGGCGGTCTCAAACTTCTCCAAGTTCTCCGTCGCGATTACGCGACGCATGTGTGCTTTGACGTTCAATGGATCGCTCTCGACGGCGGCCTCGGCGTCTTTCAACGCCAGAGCATAGTCACGTTCTTGGAGGTACGTCTGTGCTCGATTGGCAAGGATTCGGCTCAGGATAGTTGGAGTTGCGTCGGCAGATGTGTCCAGAGTATGGATTGCTGCAGAGTATTCTCGCCGCGCTTCCGTGTACCGACCTTCCTTGTACAAGGCATTGCCGTCGGCAATGCGCTGCTCAACGCTCAACTCCATGATGTCCAAGAATTGCTTGAAATAAGTGCGTTTCGAGAGTTTCACAAATTCTCCAAATGTTTCATCAAAATCTCAAGTATTTCCAATATTTTCATAGAAAAGGTTTGCATTTCACAAATTTCATGAAAGAAGTCCTCAACATGCACCAAAGTATGACTACTTTTTCAAATTAATCGAACTTGCGCAGTGGGTTGACGAAGAAGCGCGAAACTGCGACGCCGTCGATGTCGCTGGCTCCAGGTTACGCAGTCGATGGCAAGTTTCCAGATGTGATTGAAGCTCTCAGGGAAGCAGGGTGGGTTGCATGTCCACACCACACGTACCCGAACTGCATGCTTCGGTTCACCAACTACGCCAAGATTCAATGGAGCTATGTCAAGCCGCACCAGGTGATTAACCATCTTCAGCACGCAATTCTTCTCAGCAAGAAGAACGAGCTCTTGCAACACCTCGAGTCTCGCCAAGGCGTCAGCGGTTTACTTCCACGAAGTACAACCAGTCTGGATGCCTGGTTCGCCATGTTCCTTTACGCTCAAGCTCTCCTTGTCCTTAAGAACCCATCCACGTTCGCTGCATATCTTCCTGCAGCACGTTGCATTGCTCACGAAATCCAGCGTTTGAATGCTCCATCTCGGCGCGAGCATAGTCTGCTTTTCGTACGTCTGCATAGATATCGTCCATTGTGTGTCATCAACCAGACGCTTGGGCAGATGGACAAGACCTTTTTGTCCACCCACGAGGACATCGTGGCAACCCTCGTTTCTGCCACACGTACAACCATTTCGAGTTCCTCTATCGGCTGCTGTGCGCCACCCAGCGATGACGACGATGCACTCCTGTTGTATCTTGAAGCATGCGATCCACAATTTCACTTTGTCTCGACGCGGAATCTTTGGATTGTCAAGCCTGCGGGGCTATCCCAGGGCCGAGGTATGTCACGTCAAACTATCACGCATTGACCATGGCACAGACATCCAAATCATATCGAGTCGGATCGAGATGGAAGCATACATGCAGGCCGCGAACAAGAGGCAAGTTGTGGTCCAGCAGTATGTGGAGAGGCCGCTTCTGATCTTCGACCGCAAATTTGACATTCGCCAATGGATCGTGATCACGAACACGGCGCCATTGACCATCTACTGGCATCGCCAGTGCTACCTCCGTTTTTCGTCCAAGCCGTACTCCCTAGCCCACGACGACGATCTCAACGACACGTACGACCTCGATCCAGTCGTCGTTTTATCTCGATCGTGTCGCAGGTTTGTCCACCTGTGCAACCATTCTCTCCAGAAAACAAATCCCAACGACCAACACCCCGACATTCCACAGCACATGTGGAGCGTCGACCGATTCCTCGTGCATCTCAGGTGTCTCTGCATCGCGTTTCGAACGCCATAGATTCCAACAGTCCGTTGCATGCAGCCAGGTAGGTCGGCGCGATTCATGGGATGACACGACGTTGCCGGCGATGCAGCGCGCTGCCATCGAAGCGGTCTTGTCTATCCACTCCAAATTGAAGCGTGTTGGGGTACTGTGGACGCCAGCGTGCAATGAATCGTCCCACCTTTCGCTAGAACGGCTTTGAATGGCTCGGCCTGGACTTTTTGCTCGACGAACGCATGCATCCATGGTTGCTCGAGGTCAACGTGAGCCCAGACGTGAGCCACAGCACGTCCACCACAGCTGCCATGGTGCCCCAAGCCACTCGAGATCTCTTGAAACGTACGCCCATAAGATCACCAACGATTCGGACTTGACTTGTTGCATAGTGGTGCTGCCTCAGACACCAATGCCCGGTGGCAGTCCTCCCTCGGCGACGGCGGCATCCAACCGAGCCAATGACGAGAACGTGTGGGTATTGTTGTATTGCAGCACCGACCCGGTCACTTAGCGGAAGCGACCAACGTGCTTGATTAGTTGTAGTACACCAGCGTGTCGCGCGACTTGATCTTGAAAACGCGCACCGCAGACGCCACAACGACATTCGACCCTTTCTTTGTTGGTTCAGGCGTACCCATCACTTGAAGCATGTCACCTAGAGATGGTAAACGTGAGGTCCCTGGGACGAGTCACGCATGCATGGTTGTTGCTGGCACCCAGTTGAAGGACTTGGACAAGGGAGCGCGGCATCAGACACGTCGGATCCTGCGGCAACGAACGTTCTTGAAGCAAAACATGAGTCGTGGTCCCATCGGCACTCTGCAAATCGACAAATGAAAGGTTTCCATGCAGTGCTTGAATGCGAGACACTGCGCCTGATGCATGGACGGGCATGGCGGGCGCTTCGTCGAATTGAACGGCCAGGACGGCGGCCACTCGATCGATCGTGTGGTGTATTGATGAGTCTTGGGTAGCTTGCACTTCATTTCGTTTCCTGCACAGCTCGAATGGGTCACTACATTGATGAAAAAGCCGTGTACGTTTGGCAGACGTAGATGAAATTGGGTGGGTCACTCAACGAGATCGACGTGACGGAGGCCCAGTGGAGCGTTGTCCTGTCATGGCATGTCATACATATACGCTGATGGGGCATTTCACGGCTACCGATTGAGGAACTTCCTGCTTCGGAGCATTCGCCGACTTGACAAGATGACGACGGCAGCCCCGGGGGCATCTACGAGCCAGGTTTGCCATCGCTGGCATAAATGGCCAACGAGGTTGCCCGACTTGGTTTTGTCCGTTCGATTCAACGCTCGGTGCAAGTTGCCGCAGTCGAGCAGTACGTGCCAAGTCAACGTCGAAATGTCGTCTTCAGCCTCGATCGAGTCGATGGCTGTAAACCCCAGACGGGACAAGGCGTGCACGAGTTCATCCTGCCGTCCAATCACTCCGACGCGCCAGTCCCGTTGAAAATGCCTACACAATTCGGTGCATTCGCATCATGCAGAAGCGAGGACGGAGAGCGCACGCACTGCGCGCAGAAAGCTGCCATGTGCTCAACCGTCGACGGTGCCGACGGTGCCGACTGTTGCAGCACCAACGCGAGGAAGTCGCTGGCGACGGTCGAGTCCTTGACGACAGGAGGTTTGTATGCCTTTTCCACGCATCCGCCAAGCGATACGAGCTTTGCCGCGTGCAGTTTGCCAGGGCGAGTCATCCATAGCCGAACCTGCCAGGAAAAGGAATACCATCTCAAACTCCGAATCACTCGACGGCTGAGGTACAGACCTCTCTGTGGACTGACAAGATGCTCAAGTCGTCGTATACCAGATCAGGTTGCCTACGTGGTGCCGAGTTTGAAGTAACAAGAACGCCCGACATGCATTTCGCCATGGCAGCAACGTACCGACCGAAGCACTGTTCCTGGCGACCATACCAATTGCAGCTGCACGGCCGAGTCAGTCATTCGTGCAGGATATGTCACCTACCATGGTAAGGTCAAAACTGCGATGATTTCGGTGGCATCGATCGCGCACATGGCTTGCTCGATGGTCACATGGGCATGGACGAGCACGACGATGGCCTTTCGCAGGCGAATGCGGATCTACACACGAATGGAAGACCTCGCACGTCGTGCCATGACACACGAACATTCTCAATCTTGTCGCAAACAGAGACGACGTTGGCAAGAACTCCATCCCAAGGCACTTTATCGTGATCCTACAACCGCATATACTTCATGCGACTTCGATTGCATTGCACGAGTGCGGTACCGTCGATACTTTCATGATGGGGTCGACGCTGTAGCAAGTCCATCCTTTGGTGCGGTAGGCAAACATCGCCGCCGTGCGCGCTACGCATACACGACTTAGTTGTAGTGAGGTAAGGTGAGAGGAAACATGACGGACGTGTGACACCGTCGCCGACGACGACAATGCCATCGAGCATTCCATCCGGCGTTGCCGTGTCTTTCTCGTGCAAACCGAGTTTTCGAATCGCGTTGAACACGCCCATCGTCTACCATCGTCGGTGTGTCCTCGTTCAAGCATCGCTTCCTTCATACCTCGGTCACTTCCTTTGCATCCGGAAACAGGCCCCACGCCAACATTTGGGCCGAGCACGTCAAGTCACCGACAAACTCGTCCAAGTACCGCAACGAGAGCTTGTCCTGGTCGCTGCCGGTCATCCCATCGATGCGGTGCCAGTTCGACTTGGAGATCCAGCTGTCGTCGTCCAGCACCGCCGCCTGCGTCATCTGCCCTTTGCTCGTTCAAATCGATGGGCGGTGTCATCCGGATAATGTCATCCGGTCGGTGCATGGTGTTTTTTGACACACAACGCCAAGGAGAGGGTCCGTAGCTGCGCACGGCGCCCCCTTGATTAACAGTAGTTACGTAAGAGCTGCGAGAAGGGCCGGCGAGTCATGACGGACATGCGGGGGCGCTAGTGCTGCTGTCTCCAAAGATGCAGTCGAGGCGGGACGTAGTGGGGATTACGGGGGGCTCAGGGGGGACGAGACGAATCGCCTCCAGCATGGGCGTCACGGGGCGGTACTCGAGCGCGAGGCTGTCGACCGAATCCATTTCAGTCACGGGCTCTTCGGGGATTTCTGGGGTCAGCAACGTCGCGTTGAAGTCGACGCCTGGCGTGGTCTTGACGCGATGGACGAGAATCGTCGTGGATTTCGTCGTCGCGAGCTTGGTGCATTCGTCCATGACTTCCTTGATGGACTTGCGTCGATGGACTGGTCCAGGGACAACGCGACTGCGGTAATACGACTTGAGTTCCTCCAGCGCTTTCCGAATACCCTCGCGCTTGGCGTCCTCTGTGTGTTGCACGAGGCACAGGAACGGTCGATGTCGCGATGGCTGTCGGGACTGTGACGGCGGCGCAGGGATCGCCGGCGCGCCCACGGCAGTGGTATACGCTCGTGTGCGATACTCACGATAGTGGTGAATCCCGTACATGTGGGCGTCTTGGTTGGCGCCAGGTTCAACGTGGTGGCCTTTCACGGGATACCTCGCCACGGTCGACTGGCGACGATGTGGCATGACGTCGGTGTGGTACGTTTGTCTGAGTTTCTGCGACGCATCGTGTGGCTTTGAATGACTCTTCGGTCCTTGGCAGGTCAGCAGTGGCAGCGGCACATTCGTGGACAGACTGTGAGCAGCGACAAGGCGCCTGGTGTTGAAAGCTATCGCAACGTCCGGCTCGTCGTCTTGTGGGCGCGGGGGTCGAACACGTGGAAGCTGCAAGGCATGTAGAGAGCGTGGGGGAGGTACTTCCTGGTGGAGGCGGAATCTGTCGAAGAGCGGTCCGAGGTCCTGGATTTGCCCTCGCTTCGCCACGAGGTACTGGTTGACGCCGGTGTGGCATCGGGGGTACGCCATGGACTGCTCACGTGGTTCGGCATTGTGGCATCTCTGAACAAGTTGCCCGGTGAGATGGCGGCGCCCATGAGACGCTGCGCACGCACCATCCGAACGGCTCCAAATGGCGGGATCGCGGTCTTGGTCGCTTTGTGCTGGAGCACGGTGTGTTTTTGAATGAGCTTGCGAACGAGGCGGCCTTTGAACCTCGCCTGCAGCTTCACAAAGCTCCGATACATCTTGGCCGGGTTAGACACGCCAAACTGTTGCTTCACTTCGGCCCGCGCCTTGTTTCCTCGAAAGAGTTTTTGGATATTCGTCACCTTCTTGTTCTTGAGTTTGGTCCGTTCCGTCAGCAGCGTCGACGACGTCTGTGCCCACAGCTTTCGCGTGCGCGGCGACCCGACCTTCCTTTTGACCGTGCTGTCTACGGCGATTTCTCGGTCAGCATCGTCCCGGGCTACGTGGCTCGCTTGTTTACCACTTTTCTTGCGCTGGGCGTACTGAAACACCGCGTCCGCAATGACGCTGCGTGCGGTGCGAATGCGCTGCACGCGCACGCGTCCGAGTCGCCCACGGTATGTCTTTTGAATGCGCAATGCTCGCATCCGCTGGACTTCATGGTGTGCGAGACGCTCCAGGCGCAGTCGCGCCAACGGATGATGCTTCCGCACTAACCAGCCTCGTCCATGCGCTTGGCATTTGATAGCTGCCTGTGAGAAAAAGGGGTGGTCCGGTCGCGGAATGTTCGATGTCGACTGAGCAGTAGACGAACCTGAACCAATCGCTCCTTTATGCTCGTCGGGGACAGCGGAAGCGACAACACGGACCGAGCTTTGGGTGCATATTTGGACTTGGACGGGGATTTGGATGATGGCCGCCTCGTGGGCTCCAGACAAGTCGATGGCTTTCGATCGGGGGACAAGTCGGGGACGTCAAAGTCGTAGTTCGTCGTGAGTTTGCCGTTCAGCATGTTGAGTAGATCCATGGCCTAGAAATGAGCCCCCCCCGCAAGTCAATCGACTTGACGCCGGAAACGATTTCCTGAATGAGCTAGACGCACGCTGTTGCCTTTGTCCTTTGCCGGGTCCTTGGCTTCCTGGCGACACAACGCTTGTGCTATCGATTCCTGCCCACACACGTGAGGCACCCATCCGACTGTCGATGGTTTATCGTACCGCGACGAGCGAAGCATACTCCATCAAGGTGGTTATGTCGCGCGAATGGAATGCGTTTTCATTGTGGGTGTCCCCGAGGTGCTCAATCACGTTCATGCTCAAGTTGTCGAAGCCTTCCATGTACCTGTCGAGGTCCTTCAGCTTGTCCTTTTTCTCCACGACGCGGTTGACAAGCTGCCAGAGGATGGGATCAGCATCATGCAAAACGCCACTGCGACGACTGTACCTGAAAGAGCCCGACCGCCCTCTCGTGGATCACTAGCGGGATGCAAAGCATGCTCTCCGCTGCCTTGTTCTGTCGTCCGTCCGACTTCGCTTCAAAGAGCGAATTCTAAACCAAATGCCCCACTTCATCCGGGCGTCCCTCTCGTGCACCATGGCCATCGTCGACGTGTACCTCGCCTGGCTTTTCCAAATGCACGGCAACCTTGCGTGAAAAGCAGCGCCCGACGATCCCCATACCAGGTGCAAACTTGACGTCGAGCTGGCGCTTCGAGTTGGTCGACGCTTTCGTGTTTAGCATACGACTCTGTCGGTCGTACAAGTAGATTGTGCACGAGTGCGACGGCACAAGCTCTAGCGTTATGTCCATCGAGTCCCGGAGGATGTCGTCGAGCGTGAGGAGGCAGAATTCGTGCTGGCACGTCAGCACAGGCTGGTGCCACCTCGTACTGGTGGCATCGGCGGGCAAGTCGAACCCGAGCGCGCGAAAGTGCTCGGGATATTTGCGCTGGATGTCGAGCTTGCTCTTCGGCATGGTTTACATGACGTGAAACTGCTCGGGGCGCACCGTTACGCGGTCGCACGCCGACAACACACAACGACTCGATCGGTTACAGATTAATATCGCTGGAAGGAAGGACGTGCCGGTAGCGACGTCCGGTGATGCGAAGGCTTGGCACTGTCGCTGTGATCATAGTCGGTCAAGAACTCCATTTGATTGCTCCCGGGAGCGACACTCGCTGGCCCGTTGTAGAGCCGAATCATCGTGAGGTCGCGGTGGCGGGGCGGGGCGTCAACCAGCATCACTACAAACAGCATCTCGTGAGCATCATGTGTATGGCCATGGCGTATGGCATCAGCAATACTGTTGCGGTGCTGGGAATTCGCGGGAAGGTTGAATGCTGACGACGGGGTTGGGCTTCCTCGCGACGTCCTGTATTCGATTGCGTCGTTCGTCGGCGTGGCTGGCAAATCGACTAGAATCACGTCAATGCCCGAGTTGACCATGCATTCTACTCGTACGAATCTCTTCCGTATTGCGATGCTCGGGATCGTACAATTGAATGGCTTCAAACGAGTCCAGGTCGCTGTCGTGCGCGGCACTCGCGACGGCCGGCGGGGCTTGGTACGCTTCCAAGCGGGCTTGCACCAAGCATGACTTGCAAAACGTCTCCGTCGACAGAAACACCCCAACGTCACGAGATCGATCCACGCACGGCAGCACGGTTTTGCAGTTGCCGCACATGCTCTGTTCGAGCCATTGTGTGGTCAGTCCATGGACATGGCGCCGTTGTCACAGTACCCATCCGCAGTGACGGCAATGGTGCTTGCGGCGCAGCAGGTGAAAGGACTTTTGACACGTCACACACTTGCTGCAGCATGCATGTCGAAACTTAGCCGACGTTGCAGCAATACGTGAAGCTCCAGGACGTACTAGCTGTGTCCCCACGCTTGGGCAAATGGCCCCGTGGCTAGCCGGCGGGACTCTGGCAAAGTTGCTTCCTGCGGCAGAGACAGGAGGTCCTTGGCGAGTCCGCGGGGGATGAGGACGTCCAACGCCTTCCAGTACATCAACTGGCCTTGCGACAGCGCGTGTTGCATGGCAAGTCCGACCGACCCCCGGTTGCCGCGCCCGTCAGGTTGCTCTGGAGCCGCCACGTCAGATCAGCATACTTTACACCGTCACGTGGAGGATGTGTACTTTGGACGACAATGGCGCGCGTGGTAACTTCGACAACGAAGGGCGACTGCTGCCGATAGAGCTTGACGCAACCAGCGTTCGCGCACAGGCCCTGGGTCGCCGACAGTGGACACGTCAAGACAAAATACGTCGACACGCCGCGCCCATCCGAGCATGTGCCGCTGTACTGCAGAGAACGATGAGTTCACGTCGACAACGCTGTGCTAAACGTACTTCGACGTAGAGAAACTCCTTGACGGTCGTCTTTGCGTCCAACCCTGACGGAGCATTGAGGGCGACGAATTTGATTCCGAAGAACCGGCCGCGATCGGCTCGCGTGCGCTGGTGCACGACTTGCAGTAGCGCCGCGTCCTCAATGTGCGCCGGGTACAACAGCGCACACACCGATCGAAACTCAAACGAGTCTTTCGTGTACAGCGCCGCTTGGATCGCCGACAGGGTAGTCTTGAGCTTCCCAATGCAAACGTATTCGTGGCGCCGCGGCGGGACCACGCGGTGGTATACACTCCATTCGTTCGTGTCGCGGGCAACCTCGTACGTTCGATGGACAGTCGACTTGACAAGGTCGGCGTCCAGCGCGTCAGCGAGGAGGCCTTCCATGACGGTCAAGTACTGCGCACACGTGTCGTCGGTCCATTCGACGACGGGGTACCGGGGACGATGGCTGCTCAGGTACACGTTGTTGTTGCTGCTACCGCCACTGCTCATCGTGTCGCCGACGGTACGATATTCGACAGCAAAAGGACGGCGCGACCGTTCAAGATCGAACCTCTCCAACAACGAAACCGCTACTCGTTTCAAGAAATCAATCAAAATAGTTTATGGTTTGCTGCGATCACTCATGGGCGGGCAGCGCATCGATCGCGGTGTCTGGAGCGCTCGGGGGAGAGAATTGGCATCCAGCACTATGGTGTCGTGGCTGGCATGCCATTGTTCACGCCGCAGACCCGCTGCGAATTTCGAGGAATGCACCTCCTCTCCACGGACGCACGGATAAGCAATGCTCACACATGGGCGACGAGTTCGACCGAAAGGCCCAACACGTACATGGGTGCCTCTACTCAGCCCCTGCAGGACACCGACGCATACATCGGTGGCCCTCGTTGCACGACGCGTCCTGGAGCCGACGACGTTGTGATCGGGCAAACAGTGAACACGACCATACATTTATTCAGATAAAACGGCATGCGGACAAGGAACGGATTGAAAACCACGAACAGCTTCAATACCGCTGCTGACGCGTAGACATCGGGGGGCGGTTGTGTCGATGATGGCGGGGCTGCTCTGTGGTCGGTTCTTTAGACGACTGCCCAACTAGATAGTCCACGTGGCGACCCATCGTCGTTTCCGGGTCCGTATGGCCGTCTGTCGGGACCAATTTAACCATGTGGAACTGGGAGCTGCTCAAGTCGTCCGATGCGGGATGGAAGCGATGTTGAGGTTGGGACGGCTGAGGTCGCGGAACGTGGGTGTACTGCGCCTTGGGAGCGTCTACAACAGGCGCGCTGTCCTGACTGTGGATACCTCGGGCCAGTGGGTGGCCCTGCGCAGCATGACGGTCGGACGGGATGTGTTTATAATGGTCGGTTGGTTGCGGCGGGACTTGCGGCGCATGGCGATGGACAGGCAAGTCGTAATAATCGGCCAAGTCTTTCGACACCATCGGGAAGGCGGGGGCGTATCGTGTACTCGTTGTGGACGCGGCAGACGGCGTGTACACTGGCGGCTTGAACGGACCAGAGTCCACTTCCAACGTGTAGTCGTAAGCTACTGCCGGGTCGCTCGTGTGGCTGAGGGACAGCGAGCTGTTGCTCACCAAATCGCTCAGGAAAAAGTCTACCACAACGAGTGAGGGCATCTGGTGCGTCGGTCGGGTTTGAGCGTACGGTCGCCGTTGGCATTGCACGCTGGAGAGTGCAAGTACGCGATCCGATGGTTGGCGTCGCTGCTGTTGACGGCGCTGCTGCTTGAGTCGTCCGAGATTCGGCTACTGCCCGCATCCACATCGCGATGCCGCATCGAGTCAATCTTGGCTTGGACTAAACACGACTTGCAAAACTTTTCGACGGCCAGCGCTTGGTTGCTGCGAGACTTAGTTGGCCGGTCGACGCAGTACAGATTGACCGTGCACGTGCTGCACATGGACTACATCGATTCCGTCACGCGGGATGTCGACTGTGCGGATGCCTACCAGTCCACAGCGCCGGCAGTGGTGCTTGCGTCGCAAGAGGTTGAACGACTTGAAACAAACCTTGCACTTGCTACAGACACGTCGTTAAGCAACTCGAACGCAGCGCCATCGACCAGACGCACCTGCCATGCTCCCAAGCCTTGGCAAAAACTCCCGTCGTCAATCTTCTCGCCTCGGGGGCATACCCCGATCGACTCAAACACAGCAAGTCCTTGGCGAGGCCACTCGGGATGAACATGCCCATGGACTTCCAAAAGACCAACGGACCGGCCCGCTTTGCCATGGATGCCACAGATCCCGACAAGTTGGCACTCTGATGATGGTGGTGGTGGTGGTGCGACCCGGCGCCCATCGCGGCTACACATGCATCCAACGTCAGATGGGACACTAGCACGTCATCGAGCACGAAGCACGTCGGGCGCCATCGAATGCAATCCAACGTACTCTTGAAGAAGGAGCTGCCAGCTTCGAGCTTGGTCCGCACCGTCACTTCCACGTTCCCGTCCGATACTTCTCGATACAGCTTGACGCACGAGCAGCGCTCGCCGAACGAGAGCCCACTGACGTCGCTGTCTTGGGACCCTCGGCACGTTGTCGACGACATGGACGACTTCGCGTCGGCCTTGGACTTGATCGCGACTGGTTCTGTCACGACAAACCAAGTCTTGCGTCCTCGAGAGTCCATCCTCGTGCCTGAAAACTACACCCGTTGATGAGCCATGGACGGTGGTGCCGCAGCACTACCTCGAGGTAAATGTACTCTTGTTCCTGGTCCTCTTCGTTCATTACTTGCACAAGCAGCCTCAAGTACTTGACGCCGAAGAATTGGCCCAAGTCGTCCGACGTGCGGCGATGCGTGATGTTGAGCAGCGCGGCGTCTGCAATCGCGTCTTCATACAAGACCGCGCTCAATGCGCGAAACTCGTACGTGTTTTTGACGTAAAAGGCTTCCTGGAGCGCCGCGAGCGACGTGCGCAGGGTGCCGAGGCACAGGTACTCGTGGACGCTGGGGCATTGCGCTTTCAGCGACAGGACTTCCCACCCCATGGTGTCGGTCAAGAGCGTCCATCCGTGCGCGGGCGTGGCTGTCGCTTTGTCCCATCCGCTTCGACCATTCAGGGCCAGCGCCGCGATGCGCTCCATGTTGGCCAAGTGCTTTTCATACACGTCCTGCGTGAACTCGATGCGGGGGTAGCTTTGGCTGCCGTGCTTGGACTTCATCTCTGTGTGTGTGGTTGGTTTATGGATCGAACGAAGTGCGCCGTGGCAGGTGGTTGAAAGTGCTGCGCGGTCGTGACGCCAGTCCTACCTTTCGCCGCGGCGGTTGAGTGATGACAGGCCGTCGTCGGATACCGAACACGAAGGATCGGGGCAATATTTCAAAAAAAAGCAGCAAAAGCAGCACGTCCGGAACGAACCAGACTTGGTTGGACCGTCTGGGATCGCTATGCCGCACCGAAGGACGACTGCATCTCTCCCACCACTACAGCGACCTCCACCCCCCCTCCCTCGGCTGGCTTGCCGACGAACCGTCAAGACCATGAACGTGTCGTCAACGCATCGTCAAGATGTCGTCGGCGTGAACGGCAGATAGTTTGCCAGTAAAAGCGAAATCCTTTCAACAAGGATGGTCGATCTCCTTGCTTAATGGGTTCTGATCAAGTCCTCGCGGCTGCGTGCGGATTGGCCTGGCTGGGGCGGTGTACGCGGTGCAGCGACCGATTGTGGTCGCGATTGCATACGTGCACCACAGAGAATACACGGAGCTTGTGTCGCCGCCGGTATGCGACAGCATTGCGAAATCCGGTGGGACTGTCCAAGAAGCAGCGCCGCAGTACAACCACGACTCGCGCCATGCCAGCGGCACCGCGGCGGTTACAGTATGTCGTCGGCTCAGATCGACCACGCGGTGACATAATTTTGACCAATCCAAGATGAGTGTACCAAATAAGGACGTGTGATTGGCTACGACGTTGAAATTCAAGCCACAACAAATCCATGGCGAAGAATTCGTCGTGGTACCATGAACCGTAGTTCGAAGTTGGCCAACCAATCAGTTGACGCCGATGGTATTCACAACTTTTCATGCTGCGGGGTTGCCAGGGGATTTACGCGTCGAACCGGGCTGCTGAACGTTTAAGGTGAGCAGTCCTCTACATCGATACATGAGGTCAGCACAGCAGCGTGACTTGCACGATGTCGTCAGCGCCAGAGCACGCTGTGACCTAGCCATCCATCGCCCTTGCGAGCTCGCTGGAATTGGCTCGCAAAGCCGGCGTCACCCGAAAGAGACACTCTCGCTTCGACACAAGGCCATGCTGCGCATGTATGCAAACTGCATAGCATTCCCAGACTTTTGCAACGAAACCTGGTCTTGCGCGACTCGGACAGCAGCCAGGCAGTGCGTGCGACAAGCCACACCCAGTAGGGGAAAAACAGCACTGCTGTCGTTGTTTGCTGTTTTCTACCTAATCACAAAACGTTGCTGTTTTAGATTATCCGGATGTCCAGATAAACCTTTGAAAATGGATATATATTTCGACGCAGGGCGTCGTCGTCATCGACCACACGCGCGCGTGGCACGACGTGAGATGGTGGCGATTCCGCTGTTCAAGGTCGGCGGGCTCCTGCTGCGGACGCTAACCAAACCGGTGGCAAAGGCGCTCAAGACGCGAGCGAAGACACATCCATGGTTGAACACAGTGTGCAACACAGTGGGGCAACACCAGAACCGAGCGTTGCTCAAGATTCAAATGAGCGTTCAAGGCCAAATCAACACACGATCAGTGCAGATCAAAGAGCTGCCGGTCGACCAAGCCGTAGAAAAAGGGGCAGAATTCCTCGGGGAAGTGCTTATCTTTGGCGTGGCGGTCGCAGTCGCCGCGTACGAGTACGACCGCAGCAGTAAGAGCGGCAAGGAGAAAGAACGGACAGCAAACGAGCGTGAGTTCCAGAAACAACTCGAGGTCGATATGCGATTCCGACGACTCGAACATCAAATGAGAGCGATGGACGACCAGCTCAATCTCCTCAAGTCGCAGCTCGACTCGGCCTCGGCCGCCATCGTTCGAATTCAAGACGAGCGAGACCTCGCCATGGCGCAGAGCCAGCAATCGCGGTGGCTGCGATGGTCTTAGCGTCTCATTCTCTTCATAGATTGTTCAGATACGACTCTCACGTACATTCACAAGATGTTCTTCCCATGTGTCTATCGATCGTTATGCCTTTCGACTACAGCCCCATCGCCGCCTTCACCTCGACCATCGTGCTCGCCGCAATGGCGGCAGCCGAGTCGCGGCCATCTCGCAGCAAGTCGTTCAGATACGCTGGGTCGGCTTGGTACGTTTGAATGCGGTGGCCGATTGGCCCGATCCTACATAATAGGATGCACTCGTCAAGCCCTCTCATGTTGCGCAGGGCTAGCAGCATCCTACTTGGCCACGACAGCATCCGCAACGACTTGTTTGAATTGACCAGTTTGGTGAGTCTACGCCAGCTTTGGTCAAGAGAAGCGGGAAGAAAGGCATGTGCACCCCGTATTGCGTTTGGATGTCTTCGAGGGACTGTCCAGTTACGGCGCTCAGGATGCTCATCAAGTTTGACACACCAGGGCGCGCGGCCTTGTCGTATGAGATGCCTGGGATTGCGTCCGTTTGAGCCTTGCGGATTTTTTTTACGATCGTGTCGGGTGAATCTAGCTCCCTGTGAGTTGGCTAGTTGGCGTCAACACGATTGAACCTGTCAGGTCAATGCGGCTCATGGGCGACGCATCGGACTTGCTCATCTTCTCAGTGGGCACTCGCAAGCTCATGATGCGAACCAATGCATCGTTCGGGTCGTCTGGAACTCACATTTACGCGACGAAACCATAAATCGACAAAGGATATACCACGCTGGGGAATGGGCTTTGGAAACAAGTTGGTTTGGAACCGGTCGTTAAAGGTTGTCGCGATCATTCGAGCAAGCTCCAAGTGCTGCTGTTGGTCATCGCCCACAGGGACATGGGTCGCTTTATACAACAGGACGTCGGCGGCCATGAGGGCTGGGTACGACAGCAACCTGTGAATGAAGGGTGTCATTCGCGAGTCGAATGGCTTGCATGAATACCCAAGCGACACGGCGTTCGAATCCTTTTGCTGACTCTTTTGCTTGAATTGAGTCATGCGCTGCATCCACGACAACGGAGTGATGCAACTCAGCAACCACGCGAGTTCCGTGTGCTGTGCAACGTCCGATTGCTTGAAGAGGATGCTCTTCTTCGGGTCGAGACCGCATCCCAGGAGCGATGCAAGGAGTCCGTGGATATTGGCTTGAAGCTTGGAAGGTTTGTATGGAAGCGTGATGGCATGCAAGTCGACAATGCTGTACAGCGACAAGTCAGCATCGGCTCCACCATGACTCTGTTGCTGGAGCGACACCCACTTCGACACGGCCCCACAATAGTTGCCCAAATGGGGAACTCCTGTGGGCTGTATGCCCGAGAAGACTACTTTGGCTGCAGCCGCCGTTCTGCAAGGAAGAGTCAGTCGCGCCATCGAGAAGAGTCACCGCCGCCGCCACGGCGATGATTCACATCGTACCTTGCACCCGTCATTCAGTCGAAGTGATACTTGGCCTGATTGGCTCGTTAATGAATCATAAAATGATATGATTGGACAAAATGATTCCAACTACAAAAAATACGCGATGGAGTGGTGGACTCGTCGATGCCACCACCGGACGGCGTGTTCGCATCAAGGAGATCGAGCGCTCGCCATTGCGAGAGTCGAATCATTGAGTATATATATACCTGGGTGCATTTCAGGCAGTTTATGGGCTAGCGTTGGAAGTCGATGGAAATTGCAGGGGGTAGGAATTCGTTGCGGCAAGGGGCGGACGACACAGTCGAAAATGTCCACTCGCGAGGGTCGACTCTCCTTGCATGGAATGAGCGGGGCAAAGCTCTTTTATACAACATGCAGGCCCCACCATGAGACGGACCAGACGCTCAAGAATCTCACGCCCTTCGTCGAACGGACACATTTGGTCTGGATGAGCGCGAACTCCATGGGTGAAGGTCTCAGGGGGCTGAGTGTACCTGGACTCTGGCAAATTCTACACTTACTCGTCGATCAGTCCCGTGGCGCTGCTAACGCAATGGCAAGGGGGAGCTATCCGTGACAGCATTTTGCGCGGTTGATATGGAGTTTCTATCTCTCGCATGGCCTCTGGTTGCCATTGTCGTTAGCGCTATAAATAATCAAGTGTTCATTTGCCAAGTTAACGGAGAGCGCTCGTCACTGGAGGAGCTCGCGAATGGTCCCCAACAAATGCTGCGACTCACTCAACTCATTCCGCAGGCGGGCGATCTCCCCTTCGAGCAGTTCAATTTGGCGCAGGCGCATGTCGTGATCACGCTGCAGTTTGATCCCGGTTGCGACGCGGGCTTCGAGTTCGGCCACTCGCGTCCGCAAATTCATCACTTCCGCGCGTTGTTTGATACGACACCGCCGCGACGCGTCTCGAATTTGCTGCTTTCTCCGTTCGCCCTTTTCCATCGGGAAATGGTGGTCATGCGCGCAATCGTCACTAGTGTCGAGGTCGGTGGTGTGAGCCGATCGTGGAGACGATGGGCATGACGCCACCGCCATGTCGTCATGGGACGATTTGGTAGGTGGGAAGAGCGTGCCATCCATGAACGCGAGGAGGTCGCCGTCGTCGGCAAACGGGGGGAACTCGTACGCGGAAGGCTGTGGGATTATCATGTGAGCCCAAATGAGAATACTCAACTGGGTAGCGCCACCGGCGACCGCGTGAGGGTCCTGTGGACACTCCAAAGATCCGGCCGCCCACCACGCACGCCAACTCTGTCCTCGTCTCATGCCACCAACGGATCCGACGGCCGCGCCAGTTTGGGTCCCAATGTCGAATATACCCTAAATCAGTGCAAACTCGGTCCAACGCAATGTACGAATCACCAGCCATGGATGGATGGCAGCATGCACACAGGATGGACGCCGCGCGAGTGGTGGCTTCTAGGCGCTGCGTGTGCCGTGTATTCATCTGTTTCAGTCGATGCTGCTGCGAATGGATCGGTACAATACTTCTGGTTCGGTTGTTGATATACTGTATTGTGGTACCGTGCAATGTGACAATGCTGGGCTTGAACCGTGCAAGCTAAGGAAGCCGCGTGACGAGTGCAACTGAAGCCCGGGTGTGTCGCTGCAGGGATTGTAAAAAGAGGGAGATTACCTGCCAGGCTGAACCACTCGAGATCTGAAAGGACTGCGAGGATTGCCCTCGAACGATGAATCCGTTGTGTCACGTTGCAATTCATCGTGATGGTAAGGTACTATATAGGGGAAATCTAACCAGCACGGGGACAAAGCACCAAAAGTGGTCAGACAGGGTTCGTGGGAGATGCAGCTGTAACCCAACGTCCTCTGCGGCTCGTTGTGCTGCCGACGTGCCCCACATCGCCCGTCCAAGAGATTCAAGTCCAAGAAGCTGGATGTACTCGTCAATAGAACACGTGTGCACCCGGACAACGACGCATCGCCGCCTAGTCGTGTAGCATTCCAGAGTCCGTCGCTAGAACGACACTACGCCGCCGCAACTAGGCGCGCGGAGGCGCATGATGGATGCACACTGAGGTGCTCGTGTCGTTGAATGGCGCAAGGGCCAGCCACGAAGAGCGATTACGAACCCATTCATCATAGCGTGCCGAAGTTCGCTCGGCGCTACTGTACTTGCCGTGTATCTTGGGTGAGAGGAGAGACAACACGCGGACCATGCGCAGAACGCCAGACCAGGCCAACGCAACGCAGGTACGAAGCGCGGATAATCCTGCGATGGGCGCGATTCGAGTCTTGGCACGGCGACAGGCTGCAGGCGAGAGACTTTCGCAGGAATGGACAGAATACGAACCTTACCGGTCCTTTTCGATGCGATCACGTAGTGCCAAGGTTCGGCTAAACTTCGTGAGCTCGTTGTATAAGATTTATCGTCCCGTGGGTCCACAGTCATGTCCTAGTGAGTGGGCTCGGTTTGACAATGGACAAACTCTGCACGTGACATGTTGGGGAGCTTAAAGATGCACCCAAGTCCCGTTAGGTCGGCCATCCATCACGAGGGCCTTTGCAAACGCCCTGAGTCGTGGGTTGGGGGGTGCGTCCGTTTTTTCTTTTCATGATGGTGGGTTGCCGCAGGCCTACCGAACTGGCACAGTGCACCGCGTATTCGGTTTGTCAAGCTCGTGGCGGGTGGAGGATGAGTGCTCCAGGGCCCATGACTCTTGAAAGAACCTGGACGGTATCGAAGTTTCTTCATGCGGGAGGCGAACCCAGGCAAGATGCACCGCATCTTGCACGTAAGGCGCTCGTGGTTTGCTTCAACGACGTGCACTCTGCTCGCCCCATCTGTTTAGGAAAATGTCTCAAAAATTTCGGCAATATTTTCACGAAATTTGTAGAAGTGCGATCGGGAATGGGATTGTCAGCACGAGGGAATTCGAAATCCGTTTGATCTTGCTTTTCGTATACTAGTCGAGGGAATCCATAGAACTCATGTTGAACATTCCACAGAAACGGCCGGCGCAATTTCCTCCAGCGATGGGATGGCACCGGCATGTGCGGTTGCGCGGCCGTGACTGCAGCGGAAGTCGAGGGCATGTCGACCCATGTAGATCGTTGCAAGGACTCAGGTTGCAGAACAGGGGACGGTGGACGAAGATGGGGAGGAACAGATTTGGTCTTGGCGCGATTCAATCGATTTTGCGTCCAACGTGGCGGGCGTGCCGCCGAAACACGTCGTCACGTAGAAACGAGCAGAGAGGAGAGGGATATGCCAAGGTCGAATAGGCCAACTAAATTACGAAGTCCAACTAACGTCAGGGAAAGTCTAGCTGAGGAGGCGGGCGAGGTCCATTTGCGCCCTGGTTTGGAGCGCGATGGCTTCTCGGCGTTCCTTGATGTACTCGTTGACGGTCTCCATGCGGGACTTTTGGATGGCTTGGAGGTCACGGCTTTGTTGGTTCATGTCCGCGATCGAGTACCCCGCGCGACGAAGGAGTCCCACGCGATCTCGATGGGTGTACATCATGAGCTGGCTGCGTTTGTCCGAGACGGGGGTCGTTTCAACGCGGATGGCGGGGCCTTCGAGTCCGACGCCCGGGACCGAGTCATGAGGGATCGCCGTCGCAGCGCAGCCCACCTGAAAGATGTACTCCGTCACAACAGAGAACTGCACGCGCTTTAACGGTGCGCTTGCTTTGCGCTTGAGACCAGTGCGCCGCGCGGCCACCGGCAACGTCGCGTCAATCATGACCGTGCCGAATTGTCGAATGATTCGACCTGCACACACCTTCGACGCCAGGTGCGACAAATGCCCCAACCCACCGTTATGGCGAATTTTCGGCGAAAAAAGCCAAAACCGCGAATTCTTCTCGGCGTCGGATTGGTCCAATCGGAAATGGTACCATTTGATTGGCTACATGTTGGGAAAAATCCCCAACTCGGTACCCATTTGGTATGTCCCACTGCAACGGCGCATGTCCCAGCGATTGTAAATCCCAGCCATCATCGGGACAAAGCGATACGAGGAGGAACCCAGAGATGGGGGTGCTGCGATGCGCATGCTAGGTTTTGACGGAGCAAGCCACCAACATGCGATCGACACAATGAAGTGTTCATGAGGAGGTTGCAAGCGCGTGGCCTTGCCCGACGCTGTGTAGGCGCCTGGGCGTGAAAGGTATCTGGTCTGTCACATTTGTCTTGTCCCTCGAACGTTGGGATAAACCACGTCAGAATCGACCGTTTCCCGACGCCCAGATGGCGACAACATTTGCGCTGGCGCTATGGAAAGCCGACGCGAGCTGTGGGCGACGGTGGCGAGGACGAGCATTGAATGGAGGCAAAAGCAGCGTCGGTGGAGACGATCTCTCTGGATAACCGCGAACTGGCGAATAGGTGCTGTCGTTCCTGCGGATTCAATGATTGGAACCCGGCTGTTACCGGCGCAAACGGTCGGGAGGGTCCGCCTGCCCCGTTTTTGCGCACGGACGTGAATGCGTTTGTCACGACGGATGGCCGACACACGCTGCATGTTGTCGCCGGTACACAACGTCAATGGCACGCTCCTCTCGCACAAAGGTCTAGCCCAGAGCCTCTCTAGTGCCCACAGCTACAAATCACGTGCGAGTGCTGTCTCGACAATGGTAGCTTGGCTACAAACGCTTCTACGCCATCGACTTGATTCTGCACACGAGAATGTGTTGGAAGGGTTCCGCCGCCTTCCCGCGGCGGCCTCGCTCATGCAGCCCTCCGAGAGATCGATGTGTGGCAACATTTGCCGAGTTTGTTGCAGCGGCCGCGCGCAATGTTCAGAAGTGATGGACTCGTACCAACACAAGGGTCTCGATCGTTCGCTGCAACGACAGTGGGGGACGACGATTGTCTCACTGCGAGAGGATGTCAATCGTCAGTGTCGCTCTGGGCCTTTGCTGCGTTCGGGTCCACCAGGCTCCAAAGCACGACTCGAGCGTCCGTCGCATGCATCTCGACGGTTTTGGCCAACAGTTCCTTCTTCTCGAGTGTTTTCAGCGCACAGAACTTGAGCACGATCTTTTCCCAGTCTGCGTCGACGTCTTCGCTGTTGCTTGTGGTTTTCACCCGACGGAGCAACTGGACGGCGCCGCGCAGATCGGTTGTCGAGAGTTCCTTCACCAACTGTCGAGCCGTCTTGCCCACTCGAGGGTGGCTCCACAGACTGTCCTGCCAGAACAACGCGTCCTCGATCGCTTGCCCGTCGGTTGTGCTGAATGCCGTGTCAACACTGCCGCGCCTACGACCATGGCATGAGTGGATTCTTTCCACAACACGGGCACGTTCGCGCCGACCGCACCGTCGCCGCTCCGACTTGGTCTGGAGCTGGACAAGTTTTTCGTGCGCTTCTTGGATCTGAGCCAGCATGTCTTCGCGGGCACTCGGATCCATGGATTCCATCGCCTTGACGCCGTTTGGCATGGTCGTTGTTTTGCCTACGCCGCATGAGCTGGACTGTTGTTCCATCACTGAGGTGGCGTACAATTGTTCACGACATTCCACCACGTGGATGGATTCTCTGGCGTGCCATTGTTCGCCGGGAGCTCCACCCACGCATACTCTTCGAGGTCTTTGAACTCTGTGCGGTGGTGGAGCAGCTTGAGGTGTTGTCGTTTTCGATCGATGCGGTCCAGCATAGTCACGTGCATCTTGTGTGCCGCATGGCCGACTGTCTCGGCGAGCTGGAGGACCTTGGAAGGAGAGGCACTGTTCCCCGTTGGCCGGAGCGCGGCCAGTGGCAGCGTCGTCGACTTGTTGGCGGCAGTGACATGCACCATGACCAGACCCGACGTAACCACTTGAGTTGTTGAGACCTGTCGACCACTGCATTGGTTTCCTGGCTCGGCGGCCACCATCGAATTCGGGCGCACATACCACCGTCGCTTGAAACGATTTGAATTCGCCGTCCAAGACGTCGACGCGGGCGTTGTAGCAGCACCATTCAGGAGGCCCTAGGCCATGCTCATACCAGGCAACGAAAGGACAAACAGACCTTTCGTGTAGTCGTACGTGGCCCATCCCAGGGCAGCGACCACGTTGTCTTTGCGCTGCTGAGCCGCATGCACTTCGTCGACTGTGTCCGAGGCCAACGTCGGCGCGAGGCCCACAACTTTGCGCAGTTTGTACGTAAACGCGCTTCGCACAACGTCGTCTTTGAGGCGTTGCTGGACCATGCGATTTGTGTGGCGGACCTGCCGACGCCATCCATCACGAAACGTGCTCTGACTAGCTCAAGAACGACGCACCTCTTTCATGTACGCCTTGCCCTCCACACGTCCCCGCTTGGCTGCAAAGCTCACTTGAGACGTCCACGTCATACTGATCCCTCTGTACCTCGATACGCCGTTTGAATCAGCACCGCGGCAACCTCCCTCTTCTGCAGCTCGATCGCTTCGACTTGGCGAGCAACTTCCTCTGCTCGGGCCATGTCGGCTCGCTGCTGCTCCTTCTCGCGACGCCTCAAATCTTGCGCAGCTTTGGCTTCGACCGCCAAATACGGCACGGGCTCCATGCCATGATTCTGTCGTTGTCCTTTGCGATGAAAATTTGAAAAGCACTACACCACCATCCAAAATGCACTCGTTGGCCCAGCGAGGAAAGGTCGACAGCAATGGTTTGGTCACCTTTTTGCAAAACAAGTCGGTGCACGTCGTACACCGCCACCGCCCGACCTTCTCGCCGCATTCCACACACAGGCACACGAGCGGTGTAAACGTGTGACAAGCAAACTTGTCCTTGTGGTAATGGGGGTAGCACGTGTCGCAGTACGGCACCGTGCCGCCTTGGCACTGTCCCATCTGCTTAGCCCCCGTGAGATATCGAATGCGACGTCTACCTGGTTGCACACGCGCGACGCAGTGTGCTTGGAGCACAGCCTGCACATCTGAACCTGGACGGTACTGTGGTTGGCAAGTGCATTCGCTTTGTGGTCGCGCGCAAAGCAGGGCCCACACATCGCCTCTTCGCACGCCTACCTCGCTGTCAGCCCCGCGAATCGCGTCATGGAATCGTCACTCGGACCATGCAAAACATCGTGGCGAGGTCGGGTGGTTGCGTGTCATGCCGGCAACCTATGGCGCAAGCCATTCGATTCAGACCGAGAGCACTCGGACGACAACTACGTACAGTTGACGATAAAACCTTCGCCGGGGGGAGGCAGCCGGATCGAGATGGACGGCGTCAGCCCGCGCAAGAGTGCGGGGCGGCTGTATGTAGTCGTATTCGTGACGAGGTTCTTGTACGAGCACGCGCCGCTCTTCCAGTCGACGTACTCGACAAACGTGTCGCAGACAAGCGCTTGAAAGCCAAGTTTGGCGAGGCGCTGGCGCCACTTGTTTTGAAGCAGCGTAGCAGCCCGTCGTGCTTCATTCTGACGGCGCTTCTCGAGGAACCGGCCCTAAACGAAACAACCGATCCATGTTAAGTCTCGTACGTGCGTTGCACCGACGTGCCAACACGCCGACTGCGGTCGTTTGCGCGCGGCAAAAGGAAGCGGACGCACCACGAATGCTTGGTGTCGCTTGAGCTGTTGTCGCCGGCGGCACATCGACTGTATCACGTGGGCCGCCCATGACGCTCGTTCCATGGCCAACGCCGCCAAGTTTAATCGATAGGCTTCGCCAAACTTGGACACAAGCACGAGCTCGTGCATGAAGGTTAAGAACCGTTGCTCCATCGTGAGTGCGGTCGCCTTGTCGGGGTATCGAAGAGTAAGCAAGTACGACATGGCGTTGTGAAATCCTAAGGGAGGGTGGGTTACGTGGCTGCCTCGTCGGTTGGGTGGCGCCAGTGGGTTGACGGTGACAGCAGCACACCTGCAAACGGCATCGTACGGCCTTTCGCTGGCTTGAACTTTGCAAACACAACGTCGACGTGGTGCAGAGGACAGAGCGACTTGTGCAACATGCCAGGAATTCCCTTGAGAAAGCGAGAGAACCGCATGTTGTCTGGGTGACGACAACATGAGCGCTGTCATGGCATCGACTCACGAACCTATCTCGACGGCATCCGGCGTGTTTCCATGGCGGCATACATCCAAATAGATCGTTTGCCACAGCCCAAAGCACCCCATCGTTGTCCACATGCCATCCGCGTCACGGGAGTATAATGCGCGCTGCACGTTTCCGCTGGCGGCGGCCGCAAGCATCGGGGACGGTTGATAGTGCTTCTTTGTCACCGCGGTGTCTGCCGCAGTGTGCGTGGCAAACTGCCAGCTCAACTGGAGCAGTTGGGTCTGTACGACGTCCAGCGTGCGTTGGGCAAAGAGGACTTGGCCTACGAGGCGGACCTCCAACCGACGGTGGAACGCCTCAACTCTTTGGACAAACCGCTTCTTGTCGAGCCACATGCGGACAACAGATTGGATGGCCACGGCGGCTCGACGGTGCCGTCGAAATTGAACAAATTCTTTCCTGCAAAACGCGTCGTCGCGTGAGCGACACCATGACGCGACTACCACAACGAGTGGACGAGAGCTGCACTTGGCCACGTACTTGTTTAGCCACCGCGTTTGAATCAACCGCGCCGCCTTGACGTATGCCCGCATGATGGCAATATCTCGACGAGCTTTGCGGTTGCGGAACAACCTCTGGATCGAAGTCGCATACTTTGTCATCAGGGCAAACCAAAATCGTTTGCGGCCGAGCATGCCTCGGACGTGGCGCTGGATGCACGTAGCAGCCACTACCACCGCCGCCAAACGGATGTCTCGTCAGCACGAAGCCAATCGCGCATGACGCGCACCTCGTCGCGAGCGGTTGGCGAGCCGTCGATCTCGCTCCTTGTCCTTGGCAAACTGCCGCGCGAGTCGCTTACGCGTTTTGTAGCCCTTCCATCCACCTTGAATACACATGGCAGCTTGGGGTGGCTCCATTTGCATCCACTTGAGCCGCTGCTTTTGAACCGTCGACGCTGTGTCTTGCAGCGCCATCCACAACTTGGTGGCTTGGTTTGCGTGGGCCCTGGCTTTCTGGCGCTGCCGCTTTTCGCGGCGCAGCTCCTTTTTCTTTGTGACGCGTCGTTTGCGATCCTCCCTTACTGCCTGCAGGAGCTGCAGCCGCCTCCGTGTGCTGCTCGGTTTCCAGTTGCATCAATCGATGCCCCATTTCTGAATCCTACCCTTACCTTTGATGTCGGCGAACAGCGCACTGAATCACGAGCGCAGCCGTCGGATACGTCGTTCGCATGCGGCGCAACTCGTTCATAGCCAAGTACATTCGCGCAATGCTTTGGACCTTGACCGCCGCCACGACCTTCTTCGCGTGCCGTCTCCGCATGGCTCCAAATTTTGCCCGTCGAGCGATTTGCCGTCGTCGAAAGTTACGCTGCACGGTGAGAGCCGCCCCCACGACGCGCAGCGCATGGGCTCGGGCTTCCACGTGTGCCATGAGGAGGGCCTTGCGGCGGTCCACGGCGCGCAGCTTTCGCACCAAACGCGTCTGCGACAACGCATCAGTTTGAAACATGTCAACTAGATCCACAATGTGGTGGTCGAGACAACTGGACCCACCTTGGCGCGCCCTAAATGCGCTCGGACGTGCTTTTGTATGCAAATTGCCGCGACAGTTTCCCGACGGTGCTGAAGAAAGCGGGCGAATCGAGCCCATAATGCATGCCGCCGCCGGAAAAAGCGCTGAATGCGCAGTGCAGCAACATGTCGCTTGCGATTCTGTCGAGCCCGACACCGCCCCACGTATCTGCCACCACGACGGGATGAGGAACACGAAGGCAACCTGCGCGGGTCTATGGAATTGTTCGAAGCTAACCTGCGTAGGTGCCGTGTGATGCACGCCGCTGCATCGTTTTTGCGAGCGAGGAGCACTTGCAGGAGATTCTTTTCTCGCTCCAGTTGTTTCTTGCGCAAGCGTCGTCGTATAGCAACCTCTCGGCGAGCTAGGACCTGCCGCCATGCGCACTGCACCGTCACTGCGCAGCGCCATCGTTCGGCCTCTCGGGCGTCGCTCGTGTGCCGTTGCCACCTCGACCACACAACCAAGTACTGGCGCTTGGCCAGGCGCAGCATTGCATGATACACCAGTTGCATGGCCCGTTGGATTTGCATGGATGCATACCGGCCTTTCCCATGGGCATAGATAAGTTCCAGTGGCACCTACTGACGAGCTGTGACATCCGCGTTTTCCTACAGCGATCGGCGCGGGAACGTACAAATTTCTGAATGGACGCGAGCGTCGCGTCCACGGCTGCCACTGCGTTCTCATGTGCCTTCACCGTGACTTCGGATTCAATGACTGACGCTCGATGATCGAGTTCGAGCAACACGTGCTGCCGCCGGCGAGGGGGAGATGTTGGGGGCGACGGTGCAGGAATTGCAGCTGTTTGGAGGCACTCGTCGTTGGTGAAGAGAATGTCGTCGCCTGACGGGTCGACAGCAATCGTAGCTTCAATTTTGTCGAGCTCAAGGTCGTCGAAGCTGTCGTAAAGCGAAACCTCGTGGATGATTGTCGAGAGGTTGCCTGAGGACACTTTTACGTCGAAGTCGTGTTGTTGCATCAGTTTGGCTTCATCTGATATCCTTTCTAGGTCCAAGACGCTGCCAACGTTTGAATTCACTGCGTCCTTAGTAGGGCTGGAAACGGCGGAGTAGCGAGCCGCGGCTTCACGGCGGTACTGACTGCTGGGACGATGAGTCTTTTTTGGCCATTTGCGACGTTGCAACATGCCATAGAGCGAGTGTGGTTGGTCCATATTGTCGATAGAATTTCCGCGGCGGGCGAGAGTGTCGTCCGCGACGGATTCGAGCTGGTTAATTGCAACCCAGTCCGCTTCACGGGGTGGAGGCAGTCGTGCAACCCATTGCCTTGTTCGAGGCGTGATTACTGTTAGGATGGGGAGTTTCGTGGGTGACGAGGATGCTGTTGGAGAAAGTGGTATTATTGGCGGAGGTCGAGAAATGAGGGGCGGAGTGTCAGTCGGCAGTGACGGTGTTGTCATCGACAAGCGACTGTTCTTGGCGTGCCCTGTGGAGGGGTCTTGATGAAGGTCATGGAGCATCTCCCGCACCATATCAGGTTGATCGAGATAGGAGCTCAAAGAAGATGACGAAGCTCGTACGCTCACGGCTGGAAAAGTCACAGGCGTTGATGAGGTAGATGCTTGACCGCGTGCACGTTTGCGAGCCTTGGAGATGGCTGGATGGATTTGTGTGGCATACGTTTCCAAGCGCTTCGTGGAGCGTTTGAGCACCGTCTCCCACAATGCTGGATTGTACTTTTGGCACTTCTCAATGTCGAGCGCCATTTTCGTGAACGTTCCCACCAAATCCATCGCGTCGCCTTCCGCCGGCGGCGGACGCCGCTTCATCGCATCGGGTAGTGCTGAAACTGTCGTCCGTTGTGATTGGCCAATCCAATGAACCAATCACACGCAAACTGAACAATCGCGGTCTCAGTCGAGGAAGACGGCGAATGGACGCCGCGACAAGCCCCACACTGCTGCAAGCGAACCGGGGAACCAGAATACTCTGTCCCTCTACGTCATCGACGTGCAGAGATGCATTATCTACAAGTCCTCTGCACAGGACAACGTGCTGGAGGAACGACCGGCTTTGTGAGAATTGATCCAACAAGGCAGGAACGCCAAGCCAATTCTCATCGAGACCGATAGAAATTGGCCATATTCATAGGCACAGTCATCAGTGTCAACAGAGGAGCGATAAAGTCCCTTCAGGACATCATGTTGACAGGATGGGACTTGTCAAATTACTTAACACTTCATGGGATGTTTGCATCCAATCTCGTCGTCAAGAGTTGAAACCAACCGCGCTTAGTAGTCAGAGCTGCCGAACATGTCACCGGCACCGACATCGGCTTCTTCTTCTTCTTCTTCAACGGCAGCAGCGGCGGCGGCAGGGGCAGCACCGCCGGCAGCAGGGCCAGCCGCCGCGGCAAAGGCCGAAGGATCAGCCAAGAACGCCTTGAACGGGTCAGCCTTCTTGAACGAGAAGTTTTCCGATTCAACAGCAATAGCGACCAAGGACTTGAAGGCGTTGGCCAACGAGTGCGGGATCGACGCCAACGTGGGGAAGCCCAAGGCCAACGAGACGGACGCAACGTTGCGGAGACCACCGACAAACTTTTGCACCAAGTTGTCTTCGGTCAAGTCCAAGACCTTGGGGTCGAAGATCGAGCCGTTGTCGTACACGCTGACAATGATCAAACCGTACGAGAACGGGCGGATGTTCAACTTTTGGAGCAGCACGGCTTCGGAGTTTCCGACCTTTTCACCGGCCTTGGTCAACAACACGTCGGCAACGATTTCAATTTGACCCTTTTGAATCTTGGTACCGATTTGCAACGCCTGGAAAAACGAGGTCTGACCGGGGTCGCAACCGGTGGGACCGGCAGGGCACCACACATCGATGGGAGCGATCGCGTTGACACGAGCAGGCGCGGGGACCTTGTTCGCTTCCAACGTTTCGCGCACCTTGCCGAGGTCACCGTTGGTGAACACAAACCCGACGTTGCCGCGGAGGGCAGGGATGAGGCCTTCCAAGGGGTGGCCAGGGTTCTTGCGCACGTAGTTGTTGAACACCTTGCGGATCATGGTGTTCTTGCCCATGAGGACTTCGGCCGTGCCGCGCAACGCGATACGGATTTGTTGGATTTGGTTCGACCCAACGTTGTCGACGGACACCAAGAAGATCTTGTTGTACGTGTCAAGGAGGTTCTCCAACTTGACGAAGTATTCGCCCTTGCGTTCCATCGAGATGCCCATCTTGCTTGGTAGTTAACGGAGTCGAGTTGAACCTTACGAAGGAGACACGCGTCTGAAGTGTTAATGACCGCCGCCGGCGTCGGCCATGAAAAAGATTGGATGGGAGCGTCCGCAAACCGTATTTTTATGTCTTATACTATGTATTTGTATAGCTGTGTTATTATACACGTACACTGCGTCGCTTAATTCCGACGGATTTAAGGTGTTTGTTTTGCAAAAATTTCCAGCCTATTTCAAGTACTTGGATTACAATGCATGAATATTGCCTTGAAACGGAACTTTTATCCGCCGAGCGATCGAAGGCGCTGCGTGGACTGTGTCAAGAACCTCTCGAGAACGAACGACTCACGGAAACGAAGTCCTCGACCGAGTATGGATCGAGCGGCGTGAAAGGAACGTGAAAGCAACCTTGTCGTGTGATTGTGGCTGTGTGGATAAACCTATCTTGTTGCGAGCGATAAACGTACAATGCAGCACAGCCCACTGCTGTATATGCTGTGTGGCACGACTGTGAGCGCGGTGTTGACTGTGAACGGAAACGACCGATGCGAGATTTGGCCGTCACAAATTCAACGAAATTTTCATGTCGAATTAGCAATCTTTTGCACATTTTCATGTATTCTATGCAAACGCACTTAAGAGAGATTATCCGGATGCGACGATTTGATTGGACGATGCGATTTGTATGAGGGAGAACCAGTCGTTTTGGTCGCGGTAGAATGAGCCCGACGGTCACTTTGCAAAGTGTACCAACAAACCATGGTGCGGCGATGGACGGGATGGACGGCGGAAGCTGATGGTGGGATTGTAGGACGAAGCTGACCTTATCGAAATCGCTGCCCAACGCAAGAAGCGCGCCTTCAAGAAGTTCACCTACCGTGGTGTCGATTTGGACAAGTTGTTGGACTTGAACCACGAAGAATTGATGGAATTGGTCAACGCCCGTGCCCGCCGTCGCTTCTCGCGCGGCTTGAAGCGTAAGCCGATGGCCTTGATCAAGCGTCTGCGTAAGGCTAAGCAAGAAGCCAAGCCTTTGGAACGCCCGCGTGGTATCAAGACCCACTTGCGTAACATGATCATCGTGCCTGAAATGATCGGTTCGGTCGTCGGTATTTACAACGGCAAGGCCTTCAACGGTGTCGAAATCAAGGTGCGATCCAGAACTACAGTCACTAGCTCTTGGGGAAGGCGGGCCACGACCCGAAGAGCAGGCGCCCGATGTCTTTCCTTGCTGGAAAGCCTCGGCGTGCCTCGACTCGCCTTCCCTTGTGATGTTCTGTGTACGGGGCGACCCAAAAGAGCTTGCATTTCCCTTCCCCCTCTCGTGCTTGGTTGGTCGCTCACCCTTTCACGTTTCATAGCCCGAAATGATCGGCCACTACTTGGGTGAATTGTCCATCACGTACAAGCCCGTGGCCCACGGTCGCCCTGGTATCAACGCCGCGCACCAAAACCGCTTCATTCCGTTGTAAATTTGTCCTGTTGGTGCTTGCCCTAACTCGATAATTGCAATGGTACGCTTTGATATCTCGCTGTCGTCGTTCAGATGTGTGGTTACACCAATTTCTATGTGTGATTGTGTGGTGTGTTGGAATCTGTCGCAACGTGTCGATGACTAAACTCTGCTACTCCGACAATGCATGATGGATACCCCATTATTATTTGCACGTCAGTACGAGACATCGTTGTGGCCATGGCGTCCCCTGCATGTTGTTTGATGGCGTCGTTGCCCCTGGAGCTGTCGAGTAGTTAGCCTCTTTGTTGCGGCGTAACACGGTGAAAATTCGAAAGTTGGACAAGAGCCGCGCGTTCGCACGCATGACAAGTCGAATGAGGTTTTCATGTGGGTCGAGTGCCGTCGTTTCGGGGTCATCTTCGAGGAGTGGATAACATGCAGGACGGAGGAAACAAAGCACAAGTTCACAGCTCCACTGGCATGGACACGTTTTTCACGGGCACTTGATGGAGTTGGATTGGGGAAGCGAATGGGTTGCCTTGATCAAGCAGTCGGAGCACTGGCCAAACGTCGTGATTGTTCCAGTTGGTTCTGCATGACGCACGTATTATTTTGAACACGTGCAAGACGATGGTTGAAGCTGCTTGTTCCTAGGACAACCTCATCGATTCCATTGGCATGGCAGCGCCTGCGTGATGAGACTGTCTCGGAGTCGCCATGCCAGCAACGAAGGGGTCGTCGTCGGGCGATCCCTGGCAATGATGCAGCCCACAAGCGGAAATAACCCACTTTCCTCGCATGTAGTGCATACTCTCGGTGCTGCTAGAGAACTCGATATTTGTAGGTTTCTACATCGCAGTACTGTTCTGCGGCCGAATGAAAGGACGGGATTTGTCGGGCTGTGGTGAAATGATCGGTGTCGACAGGCCTCCCTGAAATGCGGAAGCCAGGCTACACAGGGCGCCATGACGGACACTTCGTCGATGTGGCGGCACGTGTGGCATGTAGCCCGGTTCAGGAAATGCAGAGCAGACGGAACCTCCTTTCTCGTTGGATGGGCTAGATAAAGAGTAAGCATCACCCAATTCGACCCGCTTCGTTGGGGAAACGAAGCGCAGCACAGGGTCGAGGTGGGGTGGGGAGGTGTCAAACGTAATGTGTTCGACCAGGTCTCATTTTTGGTTTGGCCGTGAAGGAGCTGTCTCAACTACACAGTCGTCCATCTGCTGGGGTAGCCAGTTCCTTCGCCCACGCCCTCATACATCCAGAAACCCTCAGCGAAGGAAGCCGCATCATGCGGTCGAACGACGGGAGCACTGTCTGAGACTACCCGTGGCTGGATGTCGATGGAGGAGGTGTGACTTTGACCAAGTGGACCGGAGGCGGAATTTTTCACGCGCGACACACATTCGAATCCTCCTCTACCAAAACTACGGGCTTGCCATCGATACAGACGGTCCATGAGCCGAACGCACGTTGCTGGACAAAGAATGCAGGCAATGGGCCCTCTTTGGGAACTGTAGGTCTGTTAATTTAAAAGGGAGAGGATGGCCCCTTGAGGAATGCTTCATGCTCACTCTATCTCATTAGCCAACCGCACTGCCCCTTCATTCCGCATGGCCGTGAAAGCCATCCAGTCAACCCGAACGACGACCGGAAGACACTCGTCGCTACGATTGCCACCAAGACGTCGTGGCAAGTGAATGACGGCGGGCGTTTGTCTGTGCGATGAAAAGGTTGGTTTGCCAAATGCTCATGGACGCACAGACGTCCGCCGAGCAGAGGTGAAATGCCTTGGCACGGTAGACTTCGACCACAACGATCGTTCGGCGGTGGCATTCGCCGTCAATTTGCCCCAGTCCAAACCCAACTGCTTGCAACTGTAGACACAGAGATCACCGACGACGTCCAAGCGACTTTAGAGTGGACCTGTTGGCAGAAGGTCCACCAACGTGGAGAGCTACATAGTGGACGTGATTTGTGTGCCTCAGCGTAACAGCGCTGGTTTGCCAAACGGCTATCATCGTTTCAACTACTACGCAGCCGCGGGGGTGCTCGTTGCCTTTACCGTTCGCGCATGAAACAGTGTTGCTTCCACGACGTTCCTAGTCGCGTGATGGCGACTCGAAAGCAAGATTGAAATGTATCGCAACTTGGACGGAGATCAAGTAACAGGTAGTAGGGCCCCTTACTTGGAAAGACACCATGCACTCACCATGCACTGTTCATCGCCGACGCGTTGGCCTCGGGTGGGGTCGTAGCATTGCAACACGTTGAAAGTGTTTGGGGTATTGCCTCCTGCATTGCTGACCTTGCGAGGTTGTTGATTGCGTTCGAAGCGTTGCAGCATCCTCTATACATGGCCAGAGGCCTTACCGACACGAACATGACGCTCTCGTATCCTCGACTCGCCCAAGAGCTGCATGGCCATCTCCTATGGAAGGCGACGGTTCGCCCATGCCAGATCGAACACATTCGAGACGAATGCGCCCCTGTGATTGGCCAAATGCACAGAGACAAGTGATTGGTCAATCGACTGTCCCGTAAGCCAATCAGAACACCTGGATCTGCAAACCAGTCAAAGCTCATACATTTGATCTCACTGCCGCCAAGGCGCCGCCGCAACCGCCAGGACACGAGCAAGGACCAAGATGGCCGACGCTGTTCAATATGTGATGGAAAAGATGATTCCTGAGCTGGAGGACCTCCAGCAACTGCAGATCTTTACCAAGGTAACAACAGTGACAGCACGTTGAGCTCGACTGTTTGACATACGTGAGAAGGAAGAAGTCCGGCAGATTGTGCAAAAACGCCGCGACTTCGAGTACACGATGAAGCGCACGCCGTTGCGCAAGGTGGATTGTTTGCGCTATATTGAGTACGAGCTGAACTTGGACGCACTCCGCCGCCAGCGCAAGAAGCGTTTGGGTACCGACATGGCATAGCTATCTCCACGTGTCTAAATTCTGCCACAGGCCTGCAAAAGCAATCTTCGAGTGATCACACGGGCATGCAGCGGGTGCACAACATCTTTGACCGGGCGTTGATGAAGCATCGTGGCGACGTCGACTTGTGGCTGCAACACATTGCTTTTTGCAAGAATACGGGCAGTTCCAAGCTCTTGTCCAAGCTCTTCACCAAGTTTGTGACCACAACCAAAAAAGATTCTATGGCGTAATGTGTTTGGTAGTGCATTGCAGCTGCACCCGCGCAACGAAACGCTGTGGATTGAAGCGGCGAGCTGGGAATTTTCGACCAACTTGAACGTCGACTCGGCGCGAGGTGAGATGCCCCAGCAATTTCATCTTCTTGACGGGACTTCCATGCTAGTGCTCATGCAGCGATCCATTCGCATGAACCCGCATTCGAAAAAGCTCTGGCTCGAGTACTTTCGACTCGAATTCCTCTACGTGCAAAAACTGCGGTATATGTTTCGATACTACCTTTCCCCGTTCGAATGGCTCATGTGGGTTTGCTGCAGCACGCGTCGAGAAGTCCTAGGCCTCGATGCTGATACAACCAAGCCGTTGGAGCTTTCGTTGGACATTGCGCCAGTCAAAGGCGAAGGGGCGGCGCAGGTCGACGCGATCGCGGAAAGCGCCAAGGAATCGGCTGTCGACAAGTCCCGCCACGAGATCCTGCAAGGCGCGATTCCAAAGATTGTGTACCGCAATGCATCACACGGTATATTGTCGCTACCTTGGCTTAAAACGACGTGGGCTAAGCATATTCCCCCGTAGCTATCCCGAACGACGCAGCCTTCCGTCTGCAGTTTGTCTCCATCTCCAACCTCTTCCCCGCAACCTACGGCAGCCCCGTCGCCAAAGTCATTTTGGAATCGTCGCTTGCGGATTTTCCCACCGACGCTGCGGTCTGGAGCGCGTACTGCGAACAAGCCATGCATGAAAGCGACACCGCCGACGTCGACGCCCGCCGCAAAGTGGCGTTAGAGGTGCGTTTGCCCCCCAGTCCTGCACCTTCGTGCTGGCCGATTTACGTTGGAATGGTTTGGTTTATAGCGTTTTCGTCAAGCCATCAAATCCAACGTCGACACAGATGCGATGCGCGGCGCTTTCATGCGTTGGTGTATTGCGGAATTGGCCCGCACTCCCAGCGTATGTCAGGAGTCCATGGCACCCATGACACGGGAAACTGATGCTTGCTCGTAGTCGCCTTGGTTCGCCCATGAAATGTTCTCGACGATCTCAACCTTGGGCCCTCAAACGCCAACGTTATACCGTGCCTACATCGATTACACCCTGCGCGTGTCTGGGCTTCTCGACGCCCTCGCGGTCGCTGCCAAAGCAAACGCGGCCTTCCCGACCGATGGTATGCTGTGGCAGCTTCGAGCGCAGTTGGCCATGCGACAAGCTGCCATCCAGCAAACCCACGCACTGCCACCGTCGACAAAACGCCCCAAGAAACAATTGCCGCAATCGGCTTCCACACCTTCTGTGTACAAGTCGGCGCTGGCCGTCGTCGAGCAAGGCCTTCGTGAAGCCATGACTGACACGGATGGGCTGCACCAGCGCCACATTCAGCTGCTCATAAACAGCCACGCAAAGCTCAGCGCCGTCAAATCTGCGTTCGAGGTGAGTGTTCCTAGCATTGAACACACGAATGACGATAGCTGGGCCGCAATAGCGCGCGGTGAAAGCCGCGACAGCGTGGACGCCGGCATGGTCTGCACTGCGCATGCAATTTTTGCAGTGGACGTTGCGCACGCAAGGTGTGGATGCTGCACGGACGCTGTACAAGACCTTCCTCGCCGGCCAAATGCTACCTCGTCCGGAGACGCTGGCGCTGCTGCGGTGGTGTGTCCAGGTGGAAGCGGCCCAACCCGATTCCCTGGTCGCGACTGCGGCTGTAAAAGGCCTCATGGAGAAGCTCGTGGATCTGTTTGGTCAATCTTCCGAAGGTTTGTTTGATGTATTGAGCTGCAAATGCGGTCAATTGATCGATGGCTTGGACGCATGTAGACATCTGGGTCAACTACGTGCAGTACTACCGCGAACTGGGATTGCACAAGGAAGCGAACGAAGTACATTGGCGCGCCACGCGAGTGTTTCCGTCATCGACGGCGCTTGCGACTCTGCAGGAGTTGAATTAACTGGACAATCTCACGACGAACGTGATGTGTATTTGCACGCATTGGCGCATTCGTCGCCGTCGTGGACACAGGATGGAAGGCAAGACAATGATGAGCGTCGTATATAGGTAGAACGGTTGAAAGAGTAAGTAAGGGAGCGTGCTGCTTATCTGGCCTCGAACTGGATCAAGCGCTTCGTGCGGGCCTTGTACATGATGCGGTAGCCGCACGCACGGCATCGAATGGGGTCGCGGGCCGCAAGGTAATTAACAATACCGCAGTCGCCACAGATGTATTTGATTTCAGGGTCCTTCAACATCGCTGCTGACGACGTGTAGTCGCCGGCGGTGCCGCCTGGCGTCGGGGCGGGCGTCATTCCTCCGTCCATCGTGTGCGCTCGACGGGTGGGTGGTGGTGGCAATTGGAGAATTCAAACCGTTCCAGGGTCACCTGCGTGAAAAACGCCGATTTGATTGGTCAAAATAAAAAATTGATCATCAGCCAATCACAAGCGGCGCTGCGGCCGCCAACAAAACGATTGGCCGCCAGTCAACCCCCAAACACCTCTCTTCCATTCTTGTAGCTTTAAGCAGTGCCAAGATGATGTACGTGCCGGAACACGAGCTACCCGACATGTAAGTTTCCGCCGCAGACAGTGAATGCCGCTCCATGACATGACGTGATTCTGCTGTCTTGACAGCCTCTGCTGCATCTGTGCGGTACCGATCAAGGCGAATGCCGCCAACATGTGCGTGAGCTGTTTAAAAGGACAGGTCGACGTCACGGAAGGCATCCCGAAAGAAATCATCATGCATCAGTGCCGCGGGTGTCTCAAGTACGTATGCGTGATGACAATAGCGGGCTGATGGGGTTGTTAGGTGGTCGCGACCGCAGTGGGTGTCGGCGGACCTCGAGTCCCGCGAACTCCTCGCGATTTGTCTCAAGAAGATTACCGGCCTGAACAAAGTCAAGCTCGTCGACGCGGGGTGGATATGGACAGAACCGCATTCGAAGCGTCTCAAGCTCAAACTGACGGTGCAGAAGGAAGTCATGAACGGCGCGATCCTCCAGCAGTCGTTCATCGTCACGTTCATCGTGCGCAATCAGCAGTGCGACGACTGCCAAGCATCGTTCACGAACCACTCGTGGAAGGCTGTCGTACAAGTCCGCCAAAAGGTAGACGTGATTGTTTTGGAGTGTGGTCAAAACCTCCCCACGCACACTCACGATGACGTCCCCAGGTCGAACACAAGAGAACGTTCTTCTTCCTCGAACAGCTCATCCTCAAGCACCGCGTGCATGAGAAGACGACATCGATCGAGTCCCAGCCGGACGGCGTCGACTTTTTCTTTGTCGAACGCAACCACGCCCTGCGCTTCGTGGACTTTTTGCAAGAAACCGTGCCCATCTCGCTCAAGACGGCCAAGAAGCTCATCTCGGCCGACAACCACTCGAACACAGCCAACTACAAGTTCACGTACGCCGTTGACATTGCGCCCGTGTGCAAAGATGACTTGGTCGCGCTCCCGCTCAAGTTGGCACGACAACTCGGCAACATCTCGTCGTTGTGTTTGGTGACGCAAGTCACGTCGTCGATTCACGTGATCGATCCGTTTACGATGCAGCGCGCCGAAATCGACAACGACAAGTACTGGCGGTACCCGTTCAAGGCCCTCCGGTCGTCCAAGCAACTCACAGAGTACACCGTGCTCGATTCGTCGCCTCTCGAGATTTCGACCAAGGGCGGCATTCCCGTCCGGACGAACCGAAAGACGCGGCTTGCGGACGTCGACATCGTGCGCAATTCGGATTTTGGTACGCCATCCTAACCAAGACGTTGGCCATGACGTCGCGATGCTCGCCATCGGAAGCGCTGACGTGGTGGACTGCGGCTCTGTAGGCGTGAACGACATGCGCTTCCACACGGTGACCCATCTCGGCATGCTTTTGAACGTGGGGGACACAGCGATGGGGTACGACCTGTCGACGTCCGTGTTTAACGACCTGGATACCAAGCCCCTGGACGAAGCGGGCATCTCGCTACCGGACGTAGTCCTTGTGCGCAAGCAGTTCTTGCGCCGCGTGCAAAAGCGATCGCGAAAGTGGAAGCTCAAGACGATCGAAGGTATCGAGCCCACGATGCCGCTCAAGAAAGCTGACCAGACCAAGCACGACCTCGACTACGAACACTTCTTGAACGACCTGGAAGAGGACAAGGACATGCGGTCGCGCATCAACATTTACAAAGCTACCGACGGAAACGATCACGACGACGATGATCACGATATGGACGATGATGATGCCGACGATGGCGCGATTCCTCTGGACGAGCTCTTGGATGATCTCAACATGGACGAAGCAGAGGGGAGCGAGGCCATCTTGAGTGCCACCGCTGCCAACCAAACTCAAGGCCTCAACGTAGATGATCTTTAATATCGTTTTATTCGCACCAGCTTTTGACCGTGTCACGGAGAGCTCCAAGCGATGTCATGGCCCGGTTTGACGCAAGCACGTCCTGGCATCGACGTTGCATGCAGTCCACATGGATCCTTGCAACATGCAACTCCCAACCCGCGTGCTCTCTCAACGAGGGCAGCGTGCAACTTATTGGTCATATGTCTGCGTTGCGAGGAACGGCGGCGCAAGCGCCAACAACGCCGGTCCGGCGATGGCCTTTGGCGGTCGCCCTTGGCTCATGTTGGTTTGGGACCTTGTGGCCGTTTCACTATGAAACCGCGACAGTTTCAGCCGCCAACCATGCCGTCGTTCTTTATCGAAAAATCCTTCGGGTCGAGGTGGTCGCGCTTCCATCGAGCTGAAAGGGAGTGAGAGATGGACCTGGACCTTGAAGTCCGGCGAAACCTAGACGACATCAACCATGATCTGACGCTGATGGCGACGTTGCCAGCCGCGGACGCTCTCAAGTTGAGCCAGAAACCGTCGAGGCTGCGTGCCAAAGACCTCGTGGCCAAGTTGCGCTCATGGACGCAAACGGGGTCGCTGGACGAAGATCAGCTTCGACTCACCGAACTCTTGCCGTGCGTGGCCGAAGTGGCCGTGAAGGAACTCGACTTTGGAACAGCAGAAGCATGTGTTAGCTGGTATTTGTCGTTGTCATTCCCACGAGATCAGGTGCATCTCGTTTTCCGCTCTTTCTCACTACCCCCTCCTCGCCACATGCTCACATCGTTCGGTGGACACTAGTTCTACTGCCGAGCACTCTTTGTCCGAGCAAAGTGCCTTGCACAACACGCTCGCACCCTTCAGGGACACGCTTGTGTGACCCAGGTGCAGTACGCAATTCATTGGATTCTCCAAGCCATCAAGCTCGCGCTGGAGCCGACGAGTCGACCGCACTACGATTTTCTCGTGTACAATGCGACCGTGACGTACTGGCACGTGGCGCGGCCACTCCTTCGTCCTGGCAGCGCTCGCCACCTCGTCGAGTCGATGCAGACCATGCTGGACAGCCTCAAAGCCATCAACGAAACGGACAAAGCTTGGATCGTGCGGTACGAGATCGCACTCGCGACGAGCTACGAAGACGACAACCAGCTCGCAAAAGCCGCCAAGCTCATCAACGACGCAGCTGATCATGCCCTGGCGCTGGTGGCATCCGCTAAAGCGTCGGAGGCAGCGGCCGTGGATTTCACGAATCAAGCTGCAGCTGCGATGGCCTTGTTTGAAGAAGCGTCATTGGTACAAGTGCATATTGGCCGACATAAAGATCCTGAATGCGCCAAGTCCTTGGTACGCGTGCTCCTTGCTTTGCTCGTACAACTTGAACGCTGGGTAACGGCACACATGACAGGCAGCAGCGAAGAAAAACATGGTGTCCAAGCGCCACGCCATCCTCCTCAACCTGCAGTCTATCAAATCCAAGCTGACGCCCCCGGAAGGTGTTCGACCCGCCCTGCTAGACTTGTTTGCTGCCACCACCGGCGTAAAATTTGAAGCTGTCGGGCATGGCATCCCTGACGATGGTAAGCAGACTCCTGGGGCAGGAGGAAATGTAGCAAGGTGTTCATTTATACAACGCATCGTGGATTAGGCTCCATTGAGTGGGAAAACATTGTTGAGGTGGCCATTGTCGCTGTGCAATGCCACCACCAGGACATTGCCAAAACGTGCGAGCGCGTCGTGGTCACAAGCAAGCGGCTCAATGCGCACGTCCGCGTCATGGCCGACCTCCTGCGCTGCCTCCTCGCGCTAGAACCTGACCAGCCTTCTCTAACTGGAGCACCCACCCCAGCGACAACCCCTGCTATCTCTGGTCTAAAGGGGACACCTGAACAAACTCCCGCCTCTGTACCGACTGCCTCAGCAGTTCAGCCCACGGTGCTGCACTTGGACAAGCGGCAGCGCGACGCCCAACGGCTCGCGCAACACGTGGAATGCGTCAAGGTGTTGGGTACGCCACCACCCACACAAGCGTTAATGCGAGTGGTTTGACGTGGCTGTATAGAGCGATCGCTGGCGGCTGCCAAGCGGCTGGGTCATACTCACTTGATCCAAGACATTTGCCTCTTTGCATGGAACGTCGCGCTGCCCCTGGTCGAGTCGCACCTTCGAAAGCACGTCCATCGACTTTTCCAGTCGGCGACATCGCTCCTGGAAGAGTTGGAAAGTCCGCTCGTTGCGTTGAGGGCCCAGATGCATTTGGAGACTGCCAAGTGTGAAATGGACTGCGACTACTTAGCCAAGGCGGCCATCCATGTCAATAAAGCGCTGCAGCTGGACTATGGGGGGACGGCGGCGGCGTCTACATCAGCCAAGACGGGGTACGACGCCGGAGGAAAACCCACTTCCCCCGATGGCCAAGCCAAAGGAAAAGCACAAGGACATGGCCACTCGTCGGCGCCACCGCAACACGACACCACCCAGAGGCCGTTGGACAAACACTTGCTACCGATGAAACGCGTGCTGGACCTCAAGTCCAACTTGTATGGCGAACCGGACGCGATCGAAGACCAGGCTCTGATCATCATAGAGCAGTCCAAGGAAGCCCACGACAAGGCGCTCAAGGCGACTCTGCTCAACAAAGCGATCGACCTGCTCGAACTGAATGCCCCCACCGAAGGACTTGCTTCGACTGCCTTGGAGCGCTTTGCATTGTGGCACGACATTGCCAAACTCGCATGGGGGCTCAAGAATGCTCCCATGACGCGAAAAGCCGCCGCAAAAGCCCTCAAGTTCACGTTCAACGTGGACGAAGCCCAGTGCATTCTGCAAGGTGCATCCAATCCTGCATGACCACCAGCGTTTAACTCGAGGAGGATTCGTTGCAGGAGAGCTCCATTTTGTCTTGGCTGAAACGTACGTGGGCGAGATCAAGTCGTACGAGAAGGATCCGTCCGTGTCTGCGAATGATTTGCGGCTAGGAACGAGGGTTGGCGAGTCCAATCAAGGCAGTGACGTGGAGCCCCACGCAACGATCGCCACGTGCAAGAAGCAAGTGGTGGCGGAGGTGATGCTGGGGCTGCAGCGTGGGCTAGAAACCAAATCGCCGTGGGTCGTGCTCAACGCGGCCACGTACTTGTGGAATTATCACTGTCACCTCTTTCGCAAGCCCGTGGTGGACCGCGACCTCGACTTGATTCTGCCGGACGTGGCCGCGGCATTCAACACAGTGTTCCAAGCGCTCGTGGCGCCCGACTCGGCAGTCGACCCGCACCAATTGCCCCTGCTCAGCTGCATCGCGCAAGGTCTGACCATCCTCCATCGGGACGATCCAAGCCGCATGGAAGGGTTTGTCGACGCCGTGTTGAAGCGAAGCGATCACCTTCCCATCTTGCACCGGAAAGCATTGATCGAGATCAAGACAACGATTCAGCTCGACCGCGGTGCCAAGGACGCTGTCATGGGGGATACGACCCCCATGAAGGTTGTGTCGTGCGTGAGAGCGCTCGAAGTTCAAGTCGAGTTGCTGCAACAATTGCACACACGCGCGGCGGACGGCGCGCCGCCCGGCGACGACGAAAAGACGCTGGTCGACAAAGCGTCGACGTACTTTCAAAAGGCGATCCAGCTTTGGACGCCGTTTGCCACCGATGCGTTTGCATCGACGGCCACCGTCGAGCCCGTCTTGGAAATGGAGCAGCAAAAGCGTGAATTCTATGCCGAGATGTGGGTGCGCCTCGGAAAAGCCGCGCTCGCCCTGCACAAGACGGTCGACACACAAAAGTTTTGCCAAGAGGCGGTGGCGCCCCTCCACGCGAGCGACATTCCTCGTGCGTTCTTGACGCCGTCCATTTGGCGATGGTACGCCTTGGCGCAAGTGGTGTGGGCCCAAGCGATTCTCCAACTCGCAGCTGACACGGAGGCGCAGGAGAAAGACGTCAAGCACGAGCTCGGTAAGTCGATCGCCTGCATTGTTTGGAGCATGCCACACACTGCATGGTGGTCGTAATGCAACCCGTTCGTGCATGGCTGACTGGGTCTTTTGCAGCTCTCTTTGCCATCAAGCACTTGCTCCTGGGTGCAGAATTCGCCGTCCGTGCTGGCAACACGTCGCTTGTCCACATGGCGGCGCGGATCATGTGGAACGGCATGTTGGGCATTCTGGACGTGAACGGGACGCCAAATCCGTCGTTCCGACAGAAACTGACCCACGACATGCACAACATGCTCGACCATCTCACGGCCGTCGAGTCATCGCAGTGGTCGTTTCGCGTCGACTTTGTGTGTGCCTTGCTCGATGTTTACGAAGAGCAGCAGGCGTGGGAGGCCGGGCTGTCGACGGTCGAAGCTGCGTTTGCCGTCATCCCGACACCTGCGCAGCGGCCACTGTGGCGATATCGCGTTGTCTTTATGTCGAAGCTCGGGAAGAACGTCCAGGACGGGTTTGCCAAGATGAAAGAGAACGACGTGCTTTTGCAAGCGCGCGTAAGCAAACGAATTGCGGTGTCGACGACCGACCCCGGCGCTCAATACAAGGCCCTCTACCGTGCCGTGAAGGACCTGACCGGCAAAGTCGAGCAGGCGCAATTCCTCGTTGAAATTGCCGAGTGGTTTTACACCAACCAATTTCCACTTCAGGATGTCCACGACCTGCTCCACGGTACCAAGAGGCGCCGCGCGCATGAATCGTGCGGCTGCGAGTGGATGATGCGTTCGTCTGTTGTAGGCGCGATTCACATACTGGTGCCAGTGGTCCATCGAGGCCACGATGACGATACCGCGTCCAAGAAGGGAACGATCAAGAAGCGCCGAAAAGACGTTGAGCATGCTGTCCCACCTCTCGAATATTGGCACCTTGACCTCCTCCTGCGCATATACGTGATGCTGGCACTCGCCGGTCGGTCGTCGCAAGAGCGATTCGAGTACGTGGTTGTGGCTCTCGCGCACGTAGCTGTGATATGGGACGCCTTGGCCACCGAACATCTCAATTTGCAATACCGCGACCTGTTTGAAGCACGCCAACAGACCGACCGCGACGGTGGTGGCGTCGACGATCCTTCGTCCATGCACCGCGCCATCGACGATTTCGACGAGTGGAAAGCGCTGAACGTGTCTGGCATGGCTGTGGCGCCAGGGCTTGTCGTACCACGGTCAACGAAGGAGTGGGCTGCATTTGATGTCGAGCCGCACGTTCCGATGCTCTGCGGGCGCACAACGCACGCCAAGGCATCGTTGTTGATGCTGCATCCTGGAAACGTAACCCAGCCGACACTGACCATCCATTACCTGTCCAAACTGACGCAATTGGCGGTCGAGTTTCACCAGCACCCTCACGTCCTTTCGTGTCTGTGGCTTGCGAAGGCGGTGGTCATCGGCACAGCGACCACAACCACTTCGTCCATGGCTGGCCTCGGCGACGACATCCCGTTGATGCCGATCACTCTGGATTTGCAACTAGCCAAGACCCTCGAAAAGCTGTGCTACCACGAGGCGAGCCAGATGTGGTTGAAGCGAGCCCTCGATGCCCTTCTCCACACCTGCCAGTCGTCTGGTTCGGTGGTCACTGTGGACAAGTCGATGGCACAGCTTCAGCTGGTCACGGAGTCCAGCCTCCGCCACCGCCCCGTTGTGACATCCAAGTACAACGTGCTGCAACTGTGCGTCGATATTGCCGATGCTCTGCTCGAGTTTGGCTATCATTTGCGAGTAAAGCAGCTACTGGACATCGCCACTGTCCATTGCAACGCTGTGGGGGACTCCGCAACGCTCGCACGAGTCGACGTGTGTCGTGGCAAACTATTCATGATTGAAGGAGAGCGAGCCACGGCGCTGCGCCACTTCCAGGCCGCGGCTGCCACCGAAGGGTTGGACGTACAAGCGTACACAACGTACGTGGCGCTGTACGGAACGACTCTGTGCCAACAGGGGCAGCCAAAGGCCGGGAAAGCCGCGCTACAGCATGCCATCCACGTTGTGAATCAGCTGCCCAAGCTTCCGCTCACGTCGACGCAAATCCATCTCGATATACCGCCGCCGTCATCGACGCCCCTCGATGTGGATCTCGTACAGGGTTTGGCGGTGCTCCAGGCCGCGTACGCAGCGCTACTTGTGCATGAAAGCAGTACGCTCTTGGCCACTGGGGGCGACTGGACGGGGGTGTGGGCGGAAGCCGGTCGCGTGTATTCGGAAGTCGTCGCGATGCTCGCCAAAATCGGCGGCACGTTTGGCATGGTTTCCGTGGCGTCCACATACGCCAACGTCTTGACGACCAAGTTGTGCGAGATGCCCGACTCGGACGACGCAGTCGCGATGCTGCAGCGGGCACGGGAGGTCCTTCTACTCGCTCATAGCTACATCCAACAAATCTGGGAGGCCACAGACAACCCCCGTGTCGACATCGACGTGTGCACGGTGAACTCTGTTGTGCTGGCCGCCGCGTTTGCTCAAATCAAGGCGCAGTTGGGACGACTAGAGTTGCAGCAGCACCTGCTTGGACAAGAGCACAAGATGGTCGTGTACCAAGTTGAAAGCGACGCAAAGAAGAACCTGATCGAGCTGTGGCTGGAACAAACCGCACCGCGGCATAAAAAAGCCGCAGACGAGATGCAGCTGCCACCGCTGGAGAAGGCGTTGCTGTACTTTAACGCGGCCGTGACGTTGTCACAGCTTGCCCCATCGCCGTCGTACAAGGCCAGCATCGGGCGATGCCTGCGGCTCCAGCTACAACAGAACTCGACTGACGCAGGTGTGTGGACTTTTACAACGGATGCCCTGCGCAAGCAAGGCATCGCGTGCTCGTCCGCACCATCCTCTGGTCATGGCGACACGACGAACCAGCAACTCGAAGACGTCGCTCGACTGCTTCTATCGGCGCTCGACCTTGCTCTCGCTCAGAAGGACCGAGCTGCGATTGAAGAGTGCACTTATGAGCTCATGCAGTGTTATGGATGCGTCGATCCAGCTTCGGCGGTGAAGTTCCTTCTCTGGTACGCGAGTTGACTACGTGGCTTGGCTCGCTCGTCACCGTGCGTTGTACTGCAGGTACCAAAGCTGCCGCACCAGCGTCGTGGCTGAAGGATTATTGCTCGAAGCGTGTGCCCCCACGAACCGAACCGCTTTGTTCGTGCAACGAATGCATCTTCTGCCGGCCACATCCGCTCCCGCACAGCTTGCCGCGCTGTACTTGGAGCACGAATCGGAGGCGTGGCGGCGGCTCGCAGTCACGCCCACTATCGACGCGACGCTAGCCCACCTGCCTCCGCACATGGTGCTCTTCTCGCTGCAGCTTTCGACGGATGGTTGCTATCTATACGGTGCCATCCAACCGTCACCCGCCAGCACGTCGCATGGTGCTGGAGTCCCGCTGGTAGCCCGCCTGGAACTCCATTCCCCACGCCGAGTTGCCCTCAAAGAGTTGGTGACAAAGCTCAAGGCCTGGCGCGCATCGACGGTCAAGAGTTTACTGCAATACAGCGATGCCATGATGGGGGAGCACGACTGGTTTGAGTTCACCGACGCGTCACCCAATGCGACGGAGGTGGCAGTGAGCGAAGACACATTGGAAGATCAGTTTCAGGCGCTCATGGACGAGGCCAAACGGCTCCTCGGGCCGTTCCTGGACTGCTTTCATGACGTGCTGAAGGTCTTGAAAGGCACCAGCGACGAATCAAACGTCCTCTTTGTCGTATGTTGCCCGAGCTCGACGCGTGGAGGGTCGCTGACTTGTGTGCATAGGTCGATCCCGCGGTGGAAAGCATTCCGTTCGAAGCGATGATGAGCGATGTCTTGGATGCCAGGGACTTGTCTGTGCACATGCTGGCCATTCGTTTGCAAAACGTCAAGGCTACGCCGTACAAGAAGGAGGACTTGTTTTTCATTGCCGATCCGCAGAATGACGCGGACGTCGACAGTGCCGACAACCCCCTCTCGATCTCGGGTACGCGCCGCATCACGCTCGTCCAAAATTTGCGAAAGCTAACGTCCTTCGCTAGCCACGTTGACGGCGCTAAAGTCGATCGCCCCCACCATCAAAGGGCTGAGTGGGAAGAAGTACGTGCCGAGCGCGGGCGAGTGGCAAGCCGCCCTCACCGGCCGCCGCGGCGGGGGACTCCTCTTTTACGGCCCCAACCGGTCGCTGGCCCACTTTGCGCCATCGCATGTCGCGGGGTTGAGTGCTCTGAAGTGCAATCTCGTCGTCAGCATGAGTCGGATGGAAAATTACGCGAGCTACCGCCGCCAGAGCAAACTCGACACACACAAGCCCAAGCGCGTCTTGAGTTTGGAGGACGGATGGGAAAGCGCCGTGCTCTGGTCGTTGTGTGGGGCCAACTGCGTTGTGACAAACCAGTGGAACACGTCGTTCGTGGCCAACCACCGAGTCTTGACGGGACTGTTTTCCCAACTTGCCAAGAACGTGCCCGTTGCCAAAGCGCTCAAGCGAACGGGCGATGTCTGGATCGCCAACACCAAAGTCCTCCACAACGGCACGAAGCTCAAAGCGCGCGTCCGCTTCAACCCGATTGTGTACGGGCTGCCGCACTTGCCGTGAATAGTAGTGTCGCCCTGGCGTCCAAAACATGTTGGTCTCGTCATGCTGTGCCTCCTCGTCTGGACGATGACGAGTCTGTGCGCCCCCTGTGGATGGATCAGTACAATACATGCATCGAGAGAGACGACTGCGAGCAACTCGCCGCCACGGTTGGCGAGTATGCTGCTTGTCTGGAGGTTGTATAGGCTGGGCAGCAATTCCAAGATGCACAACCCAAGGTTGAATTAACGTCGTTCCACGAGAACCTTAAGGGTTACCAGTCGTCGCTTGCTCGAGTCGACTTCCGGCACCGCCGACACTTTATCTTCGGTGTGGGTGGCAGACGTGTTGTAGCGATCGGTAGCAAACTGCTGCAGAACTGTCTGGGTAGACACGTTGACAGGGGCGTCCGGGTTGACGGGCGCCACGACGGTCTCGCCAGCGGCAGCTGCAGCTTGCTGAGCCGCTTCAAATTCGTCGTCGATCCAGTCGTCGACGCGGATCTTGACGTTGTGGTTCCCGGTCAGTTTGATCATTTCAGGCAAGACGACGCGGGCGATGCCGACCTTGATCCCGTGCTGCGACTCGAGTTTGTCCACAATGTTCTGTGCCGTGACAGGGAACTTGGTGTTGGGTTTGGGGGTCATACAATGGCGCTTCATTTTCAACGTGACCGACGTCAACCGCTTAATGATGAGTTCGCGAATGCGCTCCCGTTCAGGGTCGAACCCGTCGTCTTCGGTCGGGACCTTTTCAACTTTGTACGCAGACAAGTTGAGCTTGGTTGCGTACACAGCCTTCTTTTCAGGGTACAAGAAGTTGCGCGCGTACCCGGCCTTGACAGACACAACGTCGCCGCGAAACCCGAGTTTTGGGACATCTTCTTTCAACACGACTTCCACGCGATGGCTAAAGAAACAGTCGATGTTCAGACATCAAGACACAAACTGCATCTCATGCTAGGAGGGGACTTACGCAAAGCTACGGGCCGCCCGCGGCACCGCCGTCTTGATGGATCTCGCGAACATGGCCTTAGCCGGTCGAAAATGGAGGTGTCACAAACACCAGTGCTTTGGCATGAGGGAAATCATTGCGTCTGATTGGACAAAATCAGCCAATCACGTGCACGAATTATTTTCTCCAATTCAGAACGCTTGTTCAAAATTGGGCGATTGGATTGGTTATAAATGGAGCATGGATGGTGGGGATTGGTGGATTTTATTGACCAATCCCTGGTGCAAAAACCACACGAGCAGATTGCCGACGTCAACGCATTCCCGAAAGTGACCAACCTCCTTCGTCATGACCGAGTCGAGCGCCGCTCCCCAAACAAATGCCGCCAGCGCGAAGAAGGACGTGGCCGTGCCTGCTGCCAAGGTCACCATTGAGAACGACGTGAAGACGCCGTCGGAATACCGCATCTCGGAGAAGTGGGACAAGTGCGTCGAAAGTTTTGTCGTCAACTTCTCCGCCGGGTTAGTCGCGGGTGGCGTGACGTCTCTCGTCTTGGCCCGCACGGGTGCGGGTCGTGCGGCCCTCACAGGTTTCGGTGCCGGGGCTGGTGTCGGTGCCACGTGGACAACGTGCAGTCTCGCATTTGAAGAAGAACTCCCCAAGAAGTAGACCAAGTCGTCCCGGCTGTGATGGCAGAATACACATCCGTTTTGCTCACCCTGTTGCATCGTACGATGTCGTTCGCAACGTCCGACAGATTTCTTTGTTATTCGTGGTCAGTCCGCTTTGAATTGTACGATCTCTGCGGTGCAAGGTCACTCCCAAGACTCGACGTCGTCGAGCGCATATGTGGCCCGTGGTGTGTATGTGGATGGCACACATGCGTCATGCACATGTAACCTTTCAGGTGACCTCATGTATGAGCGACTACTTCTACCCAATGTGCAGACAAGTACTGAGGCGAGCAACTTGGAACGTGAGGTTGGCTGTGTTGTGGTATCGTGAAACCTCGTGCGTCTGCCGCGGATTTGTCGTATAAAGCGTTCGTCCCCCAGCTCCCATGCAGGTGAGCTGACCGAAGCAAGCGTCTTGGGGGGTGGCGCGTTGTCGGAGGCTGGCATCATCCACCGTTAACAACTTCAGCGGCGACTGCAATTTGAAACGTCAGAAGAAGTTTTGACGATGGTTCACCCAGGCAGTACTCAAGGAAATCGTTGGACGAACTATTTGAATTACGATTAAACGGCGCTCGTACTGCAATGTGATGTCGACGTGGGGGCAGTTGCTCGGTCCCACCGTGCGAGAGCTTGCATGGCCTTGATATTCTCTGCAGTGCACTTGGACGGCTCGTTTAGCTCATGATTCGTTTCCATCTCTTCAGGGCCCGTGGAAGCAGGCATGAGCTGCACCACCTCGTCGCCGTCGGTCGCGACGACGTGGAGCTCCAACCGACCACGCGACCAACAAGGCGTCCACGGAGCCAGGTCGAGTCGAACCCAATTGAGTCCAATTGCGCCAAAAGCAACTGCAAGTCCCACGATTTGCATGCTGCTTAAATCGTGGTGAAACAGCGCGACAGACAGCGCTACACTCAAAACTTTGCGCATGGTGCCAACGATGGCCGTGGTAAGCGCGCCGAATTTGCTGATGCTGAAAAACACAAACGCTTGACCGAATGCGCCGCTGAGGCTCAGGGCAACCAACGGCAGGATGGACACAGTGACTGTGGAGATTACGTTGGGCAGCTCGCCCGACGCCACGACCCCCATGCACGCCCACAGTGCCTTGTACCCGTTGAGGTAAAACATGAGGTCGAACGCGCCAACTGCGTACTCGTGTACATACTTGTCTTCCAGCGCCCCCGTCGCCCCGTCACAAAACAAGGACACCAAGAGGAGGGCCATGCCAATCGCGAGATTTGCTGGATCGTCCGCTGGGGCGGTAGCGGATGTCTGTGTCGGAGGCAAGGCGTTGGGGCTGGCTGCGGCCGACATGGGAGCACGTGCGGCGCCTTGGTGATGGTGGGCAGATCCCGCGAGGAAGACAGCGACTCCAAGGCACAGCAGCACGACAGACACGTACTTTTTGACAGGGTATCGTTTACCCAAGAGAACTCCAAGCACCATGACCGGAATCGATTTGCACGATTTGCCCAGGATTCGGGTGATAAAGGACACATATCGGAGCGCGAACACCGACGCCATCGTGGACGCGAAGGTGAGGGCAGAGAGGAAGAGGTAGTACTTGGTGGGGAGCGTCGACGGGGGCTCTCTTGACGCGCGTTTGAGACCCAACCCAACCATGGCGTACAGGACCGCCGTGATCAGCGTGAGCGTATTCTCTCCGATGGCGTGGATGCTGGTCAGGCTTTCCAGCGCCATCCCATTAATTGTGAACGACGCCATGATGCCAGAAAAGACAAAGAGCATGAGGGGAACGTCGGACGTCGGTTTGGATGGATGTGTCTGGGACTGGATGGCAGGGTCGTGCGATGCCGTTGGATTCGGGCTCGTGCAAAGCTGTGCCTTTAGTACTTCCACGGGAAGGCCACCAACGTGCTTAGATGTCAACTGCACAGGTTCGACCGAGGCGCATTCGAGGTCCGGCGGTATCGTCATGACCTGCCCGTCGTGGCATCCCATGCCTCCTCGTTCAGTGAGCTTGAGGAATCCATGAGCCGATGAAGTGACATAGCACAGCGGCCGTTTTGGAAGATTCAATCTTCAGGGGCACATTGGCTCGGACTCGTCCAATCCATCGTTGCCTCCACCTCGAGTCATGGCATCCAAAAGGTTCGAATCGGTTACGAATGAAACGCCTGCCCTTTCAGGTAGTAACCGACCTTGTTCGTCAAGCTGTGTGGAGTCGCACACATCACGCCCGGCAAAATGGACGGTGCGTTCGATAAGTCTAGCGGTGCCTGCGCATGCCACTGCACGGATGCCGGTGATTTTCCACAAAGTGATGCAAGGTTTCCATGGGCATCGACAGAAGTCCCGTGAATCAACTGCCCCATGCAAACAGTGTAGTCGTTGTTCATAACGCTTACACGTCCAAATTTGGGTTGCAATGATACATCATGTCGATACAAGGTAGGTTGGCGGGCAATCGTCATGGATCTTTGTCTTCGAGTTTGGTCTTGGGCTGTCCTTGTGATTTATGGTTAGGAGACCATGCGAGCTTAGTTGTTGTGGTCGCAGCAGTACAGTCCACAACTTGGGCGCGTCGCCTATTCGTCGTCGCTGGCGTTCAGAAACATGCCACGTTTGCCTGGTTTGCTGGAGAGAACTAAACAGGGGCGATCGTTGTGGCAGTTGAAAGTCCAATGGACGGCGATGCCAGCGCACGCGACAATCAACTGTACGACTTGAAAACTTGTCGAGTCATGGTAAAATGCTTCCACCGACAGTTAAATGGACCCCGTTCTGGTTGAAAGGAGTGACCCACATCTTTTGATAACGTTAAGGCAGACAGTGATCGGTTGGCCGACCCCGCCACTCGCTCACTGCGCGACGAGCGAGGCGATGGGCTCTTAAGCGGACAACACGTGCGCTCGGCGCCGTCACTGTCTTCTTGTACAAGTTCACAAAATGCATGAGGTCGTAGCGCCCGCTGCATATACAGTTGTTGGCTTCGAGGGCTCCAGTCTACCAGCGACACCCCGATGAATCATGCCCACCACGACCTGCCCCATGTGTTGGGCTTGATGTGGCTGCATTGACGCGTGCTCGACCGACAATAGCGGCGGTGTGTGCAGCCAAGAATTGTCGACGTTTTGTGCTTGCCATGTGCGCGGTGCCGCCAAGAGCCCACCAGTCAACCCCACGGAAAACGGGGAAGTTGGCTCCACCGTATGCGCCAAGTGAGGCACTTTGACAAGAGCGCATAAAGACTATGATCGACTATGGATATCCCAAGGCAGGTGGCTTGGATGACTTTTTGGGCACAACCTGCGCCTGCAGCTGTTGTAGCTTTTCCTTGACTTCTTTGGCTTCGATGTCGGCCTCTACGAGCAGCGCTTTGACCATGGCCAGTTCTCGCGAGATGAACGCGTCGGCGTCAGCGAGGAGCTTCAGGTCCTGCGCTTCCGAGTAGACTGGCCAATACTCTTGCAACGGATTGGGCGGAGCTTGCTTCTCTGGACCTGTGTCGTGGTCAAGTTTGAAGCATGCAAGGTTGAGGAATCGCATTCGATCTGGACAAGGAGTGAGTGGATGCAGCACAGTACCAGTCATCAGTTTCTTGTACATAAACTCGGTCGGTTCGTTAAACACGAGCTCGTCGTAGAATTCCGACACAACTGGCTACGATGACAATCGTGATGATAGACGGGTTGTCGTTGCATGGAAGGGCGTGCTCGCACGTACTTTCTTTGTGGACGCAATTTGATTCCCCGGCGGGTAAAGCACGAGCATGTGAATCTTGTCGACGGGTTTTTCGTCTGGATCTTGGAAATGGATTTGAATGCGCGTCTCGAATTCGCCCCAGCCGTACTCGGACACTTCGTACGGCGGCTCCGTCAACACTACAAAAGAGGACGGGTTCAACGATCCATCCGGCACAAGATCGGGAAAGGTGTCTGCTGATATCGAGAACGCAATGGACCGAGCTCCATGCTCGGTGTGCCTGGTTGTTGTAATACCTCGCACGGGGTTGGCAAAACTGCTGTGGAGACTGATCACGACCTTGCTGATCATGTAGGACAAATCTTCGTTCGCGATGCCCCGCACGTAAATGTGCCATCGATGCGTCTTGGTCTCCTCGGACTTGCGGCCCAAATATGTCGCCACGGACCCATAAGCGATCGCCTTGCTCACCACGACCCCCTTTTGCCGCTCGTTGGACATGCTGGACGAATATCCAGGAGCCCACCTATCCGGATAACATCCACGTTTAACCGGACACCCCCAGTCTTGAATTCGAATTGTCACCAAGATGGCCCGTGGCGCGAAGAGGAAGGCTGCAGCATCGAGCACAGACGGAGGAAGCCATCGAGGTACATGCATGATCATTATGTGTGATGACGAGGACATTCATGGATAGCACGTGTACAGGAAGTGCTGCGTTGAATGACGAGACAGATCAATCGAACGGTGAAAGTCAGCATTCTGCATTGCAAACCCCTGTTACCCCAACGCCAGGAAAAGACAAACCCCAGACAGTGATGGAGTTTCTGGAAGCGCAACGAGATCAAGCCGTACAAGTACAGACGAAGGCACATCTTGAACAGGCGAACTGAATGCATCACTATAGACCATCCGCACACGAGGAGAAGAACTCATCACCGCATTCAGAGAAGAAGCAGCACAAGCCAAGAAAAAAATTCTTGCGAGTTTGTCAGAAGGTTCTGAACTTCGCTCATCACCGACTGACGACATAACTCTGACACAAGAACCATCTCTCGTCGCTGACGTCAAGCGTGAAGTGAAGCAATCGGTTGATGTTCTTGGGACGACAGTCCACGAGCGACGCTCCTATGGTGAAATGAAAACCATTCATATTGTCTGCACTGGCGGTGTCTACTCGGGTCAACGGTTCACACTAGTCCTCGCCATGGTACTCTCTCTCGCGATCAAAACCTCGCTCGTGCTTGAACAAGTCACAGCATGCTTCTTCGTAGGACGCTAATCGCACCTGTCATATCGGTAGATCTTCGGGCAAGAAGTACAAGGCCCCGCATGGCCTGAGCTTGCCGAAGGATCCAGAAATATCGACGTCCCACGCCGAAGTAAGTGGTTTCTTCCACTCGACCGACCACCCTCTCAAAATCACGATAGCTGCGGTGGAATGCTGACGACGACCACATTTACATTACCGATCAAAACAGTACGAATGGGACGAAACTCAACGGCCGCAACCTCAAGTCCCGCGTGGCCGTGCGACTCGACTTTTCCAAGCCGATCCGCCTCGGCTTTGGCGGCTGCGACTTCACGTTCACTATGTAATGTGCACGGGCGTTCGTTTTGTTCCATGTTGTACAATTATCCACCGCCCAACTGTGCCTACTACTGCGACTAATCCGAGTCCGAGTCGTTCAACAGCGAAAACGCATTCACCACCTTGGTCGAGGCCGCCACTGGCTTGAACATCGCCGCCTACGGTCGCCACAACGTTAGCATGCCACGGCCCTTGTCCTCAAGTACCTTGGTAATGTCTTTCTCGGCCTTGGGGGGCTTCTTAGTCTTCTTGTCCTCTGTGGAAGCTGTTGCAGTGGAAGCACCTCCGCGGCCCCAGTCGCCATCCGATCGGCTCGGCTTGGTGGGTTCACCGCCACGGCCACCCTTGTCACCACGGCCACGGCCACCACGACCGCCTTGGTCCCTGATCACGTCCATGAGTTCTTTTCACAACAAAAACACGAAAGAACCGTCGATCGCCAGACTCTAGGCGGGCATCCATCGCAGCAGGTCGGTCGGCAGATGCTTTGACTTTGGTCTCATCGCGAGGCTTGGCGTCGCCGAAAACATTAGCCGGTCGCGCACCGCCTTCTACGACGTCTTCTTTGGACTTGGTGCGGGGCTTGAGCGTCAATTTGGGTCGTTCGGCAGGGGCAGTGGGTTGGTGGTCGATGTCGTCACGACTATCAACGCAATTTCACTTGTTCGAGTTTTGCAAGATTGTGAAAGATGACGAGACGTACGGGGCGCGGCGATCTCCGCGGTTTTCACGACGGCGGTCAGCGCCCCAGTGGCCATCGCTTCGTTGTGGGCCTCGGTCGTCACGCCCATATCGATCTTCGCGTTGGTAGCGATCGCCGCCGTAGCGATCACCGCCATCGCGCTTATGAAAGAATCCATTGTCGTTGCGGCCACCCTTTCTATCACCGGCGACGTCGACGCGAATTGTACGTTGGTTCAACGTCTGTGCATGCCACAACATATAGTCACGTCAGTACTGAGTCGATTCGTGCACGTCAACATGAACTTCTTACCTCGCCGTCGAGCTCGAGTGCGCGCATCAACGACTCGCGGTCCCCGAACTCCACGTACGCAAAGCCCTTGGGGCGACCGGAGTGGTCCTGTGGGAGGCGGATGTCTTGAATGTTGCACCCGGCGAACAAGTCGACGAGATCGTCTGGATGGACAGCGTATGGCAAGTTACCCACATAGCTCTACATGTCAAGATAGTGAAGTTCAGGGCGCTATAGCGTTTGTCCAGACGTACCTTGAACGGGCCGACGTCGGGCACAGGAAGCTTGTCGCGCCTGTCGAAGTTGTCGCCACTGTAGCGACGTCCCCGTGCACCATGACCAGGTGCATCGTAGTCATCATGTTGACCTGGACGACTGTTACGGGGGGACGTCAAGCGGCGCGGGGATTCCACGCGGGTGGCAACTTCGCGAACCGGAGCAGCAGCGGCAGGGCTAATTTCATCGAGGGACAAGTCGGATCGTCAGGAAATGAACAGGTCCCGAAGGCTTGCAAGCCAAGGGCATCTTTATGGTGACACGTACGCAGCAACAGGCACCGGCACTTCGAAGTCGTCAACTTCGTCGGCCCACGAGGAAGTGGGAAGGGTTTGGAACGTCGCCATGGTCGTGTATGTGCTCGAGAAGGTATGCCGCCGTCGATCCAATGGCCGCGACCGCCGCGACCGCTGATTGGCTGGCAAAATATTATCCGGATTGGGATGGCTGCTGTCGGATGTACTGTCAGAACGCTGAAGTGCATGGGGGTCGTGCGGAGTGCCGCCCAACACTTCCACCGGTCGATGTCCAACATGTCTACGCCCGTCATGCCGATCGTCCCATCCATCGTGAAAGCAGCCGTGCATCCCAGCGCCGCTTCGTCGTTCTCCATTGCCCAGTTGAACATCTTGGCAAGCAACTTGGCCAAACCCGACAGGTTTCCATACGTCCAGCCGACGGTGCTGGAGTGGACAACTCGCAAGGAGATCCTGGTCCGGCAGCTGACGTCGTTGCAAGCCGACGTACTTTGCCTTGAAGAACTGAGTGACTACTGGACGTACTTTCGCCCGACCTTCCTCGAGCTCGGGTACGACAGTGTATACGTGAAGCGACCGTCTGGCCACGTCTCGGAATGGAGTGGCCAGAAGAAGTTGGATGGGTGTGGTTTGTTCTTTCGGCAGTCCAAGTTTTCGCTCAAGGAAGTTGAGAGCGTCAACTTCTCGGACGAACACGACCGCGTGGCGCTGCTGGTGCTGCTCGAGGAGATAGCCACGTCCGAGCTGGTTCTCGTTGGTACCACGCACTTGTGGTGGAACAGCGCAAAGGTCGACCACCAGCTGAAGCAACTGATCGAGCTGAACCGCGAAATGAACGACATGGCGGATGCCATACACGCCAAATACAGGCTTCCCGCCGGGCACACTGTCCCCGTACGTTGTCACGATTGCACTCAACGCGATGAACCTCGTGTTGGTGCAAACTAGGTTGTGGTATGCGGCGACTTTAACAACTCCCCGTCGTCTCTGCTATATCGCTATATGGAGAACTCGTTTCTGAGGTATCGAACGACCGACTGATGCAGACTTGCCCTCGCCACATCGCCGTTGGCTCGACATTCACTCCCTGATCGACGTACTCTAGACCGAAATGCTCGATGAAGAGCGCCTACGCCAACTATTGCATTGGAGACGGGTCAGCATCCAGCGCAGAGCAAGTCGAGAGCGGCGGAAACGAGCCGCCCCACACGACCGTCAACTTTCGAAGGTGTTGGACCATCGATTATATCTGGTACGGTTTGACAAACGTTATCGCGACCGTGTGCTGATTTGGATCATGCAGGTTCTCGTCCGAGCACTTGCGACCCGACTCGGTGCTCGAGATTCCATCGGAAGAGGCGCTGCGGAGTGAAGACGGGCCGGAAGGTTGGCAGGCATCGCTCCCCAGCAATGCGGCCACGAATCAAAACGGCATCCCAAACTCTGTCCACGGTAGCGACCACGTGCCTCTCTTAGCTACGTTTTCATTCACATAACCGAGCCATCCAACTCTCGGCGCCTATTGTGTCTGTAAAAACTCCATCGCGGTCGCGAGCAAGTCGGCCTTCTTCCCCGCTGTGCTCAACCCATGCTGCGAGAGAAATCGTTTGAGCTCGACGACAGTCTTCTTGGCCAGCACCCCCGACGCCGCCAGCGTTTTGTACGTCTCGACACTGCAATCCACGTCGTCGTCTTCCGTTTTGGTCACCTTGTTCTTTTCACGCTTTGGCGCCGCAGCAGCCTAGAGCACCACACATCGTAGCACGTGTTTCAACATTGGACTGCCCCTGAATACGCTTTCGTGCGCAGAGGCTCCACGTAGGCGTGGTCCGGACGCACCTTTCGCTTGACTGATTCCTTGTGCAGCTCGTCGCCGCCACACGCTTCTTTGAATGCCTCGACAGCGGCCTACGGTCTCGTATGAGCCATCCATCCATGCCATTTGTCTAGGACGCGGATGAACGAGATCGTTACCTACCACAACTTTTTTGCGCGCAAAACCAGCCGCATCAGGAAGTGTCGAGTCGTCCTTATCGTCGAATGCCAGCACGTCTTCGTCCAGCGCAAGTGCTTGAATGCTAGCGTAGTGCTTCTGGAGCTCTGCCACGTCATGTCATTTCACGACTCCGTCGTGGTGGTGTCAAAGGTACCGGGGTTTTGGAACGATGGCATGGTCGACAGGGTCAGCGATCGGATCACCTGGCACGCAGCGTCCACTTGGGTCGATGTCGCTATGAGCACAACAATCGTGACGTGGCATCCCACCAACACAGCAAACCTTGTTGCTGTGGCGCTCGAAGCGGACGAATGTCGTCGAGAAATGGGAGAAAGATCACTTGGAATCCCATCGGTTGCACTTGTCCTTGGTCATCGTTCACTTCGTCCTGTCCAGGACAGTGTGTCGACCACACGTGCGATCAAGGACTCACTTGTGCTAGCAGCGCCGCCACGCGCGGCGGCGAGTTGTCGCGCATGCTGAATCGACACACGGCCACCTTGTCCTTGGTCGTCATAGAACGATGCAGCGCCACAAACGCCGCGCTACTCCCAGCAATGTCTTCCTACACAACGCAATGGATCAAGCCCTTGGTATGGAATGCTCGCGACGAGATAGAGCATCCCATGATACGCCATCCACACGAGTGCATTGCTCATCACGTACATCTGTGGGAAACAAAAAGTACGGCGGGCGAACGTTTTCGTGCAGTCGAAGGACCGACGTGGGCTCGAATCCGAGCAATTGCACCCCTACAGCAGCCCCTGTTGATATGGCTATTCCCCACGCTTACTCCACCTGCGGCGTCAAAGCGCTTGATTTGGACCATGTCATCTTTGGTTAAGTACACGCGATGGCCGCCGTACGGAAGGTACGTGTTGATTTGATCACTGGTCAGGAAGCTGCCCGTGTGGTTGCACAGCCACTTGGTCACGGACTGCAATGGCACGTTTGTTTCGGCGTCCAGGTGAACAGGCGACGGCTTCATTTGTCGGACTCGCAGCGCGTACACCTCGACGCTCAACTTGACCGTCTTGGTGATGGAAAAGCGCAGTGTAGCCAAACGCCGCTTGCGGTAGCGTTTGCGCAGCGACTCCTCCATCATGTCTTCGTACGTGTGGATGGCAAACGCGGCTTGCTTGGCGAGGCCGTCCGCGGTGTCGGGTGCCGTGGCGTTAGACGCATCATAAAACATGGTATGGTAGAACGAGGACAAGTCAAAGCTTGATGTGCCTGGAAACAACAACAGCACATGGTCATGGCAGGTATCAGTGGGGATGGATCGTACTAGAAGGAGGCATGTGGAACAGGTTCAGCGTCCGATGGAGCTCCAGTTGATTTTTGAACTGTTCGTGGATACGATTGCGCTCGTCCGCGTTCCCGGCACTCGGGTCGTCGCTATTTGTGAGGATCCAAATCGTTTGGGTGTCTTGCTTCTTCAGTCTAGCAGATTGAATGTGCATGTGAATCATGCAACGGCGGGTGGGTTGTGTACCCAGCGTTGGCGAACGCGAGACTGCAGTGCCACAGAGCATTGCTCAACGACACTTGGTCCGTGGACGCCATGCTGCCAAACTCGCGTTCGAAGTTAAACTTGGGCGAGACGAGCTCGGTGAGCTGTTTGATGCGTCGTGCAGACGGATATCCAATTTCTTGCAGCTCGTAGACGTGGTCGAGGGAATTGATGTTTTTCACTTGTTTCTACCGGACAGCGTGGAGCAGCAAACGATTTGCGACAGGAGCCCGTACCGTGCCAAAGAAGCACACACCCAAGAGCGAGTTGTCGTTCGCAATCACTTTCGACTTGAGGTATCGCACAAGCATGTCAATGCACGTTTGGAACCACGTCTTGGACGGGTCGTCCGACAAATCAAAGATCGACCGCCGCACGTCGATGAGCACAATCAATGCATCTCTTCCAGGGGACTCCACCGGAACGTACGATTCTTCTTCGTTGCTCCACTCGAACGCCATGATGTCTCTCCTCTGTCGATCCGCCAAATTGGTTTACCTCGAAGGCTATCGGATAATTATCCGGATTATGCCGTTGCTCTCGTCAATACATATGCGTCAATGCGACGTTTGAAGACGGTCGTCCTGTACACGTGCGTCGGCCACTTTGGCGGCCCTCCGTGTCACCGTCGCAACCTAATCTTCATATTGGTAAGCGCTAGCCAGTAATCGCAGTTGGCTGAATCGCAACCGCAGACGGACTCTTGATTTTCGATAGGGCGCATGGTGGACCCGCCAACGAAGCAAGTGAATGTCAAAATGAATGGCATGCGAATTGAGCGAGCGTGGCCTCCCGCGCCTCTATCTTGACAGTCGAGATATCGTTCTTCTTAGCGTAAATGGGCCCGCAGGGACTCTCCATCGCAAGCACGCGAGGATGACGTTGCGAAGTTGTCGACGTGGCTCGAAGTGTTTGTCGTCGGATGGAATTTCCCACTCGACCAAACAGGGGAAAAAGGACTCGTCTGAAATTTTTTATAAATTCAACAGTTGAAAATAATATTTTTCGTACCATGAAATTTTTTACTGCAGCACCACCGCGATATATTTTGTTTGAATGTTTTGATTGACAGTTTGTCCCAAAGGATGGGAAAAATCGCCCAGCATTCTTGACAAAACGGTGGTTTTGGCACTTGACTGAAGCGACACAACCAATATGGCCTTGAAGTACGCCGACCCTGCACACCCTGCCACCGCTCCTGGCAAGGGATCATTGATTGTGTCTGTGTTGCTCTTCCCGGTGCATATCGTTGGTGCAGTTACCGTCTTCGTCCTGTCCGTGGTCGTTGGGATCCCTTGCCTCCTGTACTTGTACTTGTTCCATCGCGACATGCTCACCACAGCACTCACACCCGCGTCGAAACCTTCCATCGAGAAACGCAGCACAAATGGACGTCACTACAAAGACCCTGCTTTGCTGCAGCGTGCATGGGAGCGTCCCGTTGGACAGCTGTACCTCGACAGGCAGCTCGAATTTCAGCGACGTGAAGGCTACTGCGCGCCGACCACTCTCCGCAACGTCCTCAAATCGATTCCATCGGTACCTCTGGAGCACATTCCAGAGGCCCAACCTGGACCTTGGACAGCTCAACAGTTCCAAACAAAACTCGACAGCGTTGGGTTCACTTCGTCGACGATTGTGTACGGCAACGCCTCCTACGACGTTTTTCTTGACGCGATCAAGCGATCGAACGACACGAACGTCCGCGTCGCGATGAACTTCTTGCATCCTGCGTTATTTGGCATGGATGGTCCTTCGTTTCTGCCGCACGTCATGCTCATGGCGATCCTTGGCGGTCATTTCGCCAACATCGTGGGATACTTGGAGGATGTAGACCTCGTTGTGGTGTTCGATGTGAACCACGACTATGGGCCATACCTCGTCCCTTCCACTCGCCTCTACGAAGCTGTTCGAGCAGTCGACGTACAATCAGGCATGCCCCGTGCTCTAATCGTATCAGACCTCGTACACCCGACAAGATGACAGTGGCCTGGCCAACGCGAATCCTTCGACGCATCACTTTGCATTATCTTGGCATCCGTCCCTCGCGCACTCGAGGCCGTTGAGCCTCGCCTGTAAACTTGCTGCGGCGAAGGGGGTCGATGATGCATGACATGGGGGCCGAACACAGCCATGGTTACAATTGTTTCAATGGACCTACATGACTTGGCCCCATCTAGGTCCGACGAGGATGACCGATGAAAACCCTGATTGACGGACACGAGTTGCGCGACGGCTGCATGCTTGCACGATTGGATTATTTTGGAAATCCCCTAGATCGACGTCGAACAGAATGGGCTGACGGACATATCCCGTCGTAACAATTCTAGACGCTTGGTGGCTGTTGTAGAGCCTCTCGTGGCCTAGCTCTTATGCAACTGCGACACGATGAGGGCCCGAGTCTTTCCTGACTGAAAGTCGTGCGCATTGACTGCATCGTAGAGTCGCCGGGACTCGACAAAGAAGGGGCCATACGTGTGGTTCACGTCGAACACAGCGACGAGATCTTCGTCTTCGACGTACCCAACAATGTTGGAAAAGTGCCCGCCCGCCAACGCAAGGAGCAAGTTGTGCGGCACAAACGATGGGCTGTTGATGCCAAATACGGGGGACCGTAAGAAGTTGAGTGCAACACGGTAGTTGGGATCGTTTGCCCGCTTCAATGCTGCGATGAATGCGTCATAGCCATCGCTTCCAAATACGACCGTGGAAGTGGTGTGTCCGATGGCGTCAATCTTGGCGGCGTATCGTTCCGGGGTGGATGGACCAGGCTTGGCTTCGGGAATGTCCTTGGCGTTAACGGTCGGAATCGACTTGAGCACGTTTCGCAGGGTCGTGGGCATGCAGTACCCTTCCTGGAGCTGGAACTCGAGATTACCACGGAGGTACAATTGGCCGACGGGTGCGGCCCACACACGAGCCCACAGCGAAGCATCCTTGTACTTTGGGTGCTTCTTTATCGACGACTGTGATGCGGGCGAAAACACCGACACGATGAAGTCGTACTTGAAAATGGCCAGCGCGAGGAGGACGGGGTACCCCACGATCGACATGATAGTGATCATGATGGCACGACGAACGGCGCGGTGCGAGTGGGCGGCTGGGTGGCCGGGCTCAACGTATTCCACGGCCGTGTTGGTAGTAGCAGCGGAGGTTGGCATGGCGAATGTAACTTTGCAACAACGTGTGCCTGACTAGCCACTCATACCCCAAGCACCTAATGCCGGATTTCGTCGGATGGGGGACACCGTCAACCTGGGCACGGCAAACGACACGACCACCAGGTATGGGATATAATGCCGGAATGTAAGTATAATACTAATGTATGTATGGGATGTAGTCGTTCGTGCGCGTCTTCTACGTCTTCCCACCTTATTCGTTCATGTTCAAAATTGCATAAACACCATCGAACATGTCAAACCAGATCATGGCGAGCTTCAGTCGCATAGCCAGAGCAACGGCACACTCCAAAGAACTAGCTTTACGCGATTGTGGTTCAGTGCCTTGGTTCATCGCTGGACGGATTGCTCGCTGCCGTCGAAGTAGTCACTGGTCCAAGCGTGAAGTCGGCCGGTTG